AACTCAGAACTTAATTACAGACGAAACCAATCAGTGTTATACAAAATGGCTAAAGCAATGTGATTTGTTTGTTAGCCTTTGCTCTTAGCCAAAAAGCAGCAGCGCGCATTTGGTGTTACGACTCCATTGTCATCACCGATTCGACTCTCAACAACGACGATCTCTTACATATTGTTTGCTTTTTACTGCTGCCGCGTTTAGTTTCACCTCAGCACCGCTTCCGTACTTCATGCCATGCTCTTCATAAATACCTAAAAAAATTAGTGTTATGCATACCCATTTCTCTTTAATAATTTTGTCGCCCAACCAAACCTCCCTTTCGTACGAGCTATTGTAGCAAGTCTTCTACGGCCGGAAACAATATTCTCTATATATACTTGGAAACTTCCAAAAAGAGGCTAGGGGAATCTCGTTGGTAAAATTAACATGTGGATTTTTTGTGCTACAAAGAGACTCGAGTTTGGTGGATCAGATACTCTTCCGCTTTGCATCGTGTTCTAATACCCACGCCTTACAAGACTTCGTGAGACATTCTCAAAGCTTGGATATCGAGCTGCCACACAACAACAAGTTTTTTGACCAAATTTTCACGATTGCATTTTGACAATCAGATCTGATAGACTGATACGTGTAGAACAGGCTTCCCGAGATGCACATATGACTGCATAAAGAATATTGCATAAGCTTCCTCTTGAATAGGAAAGGAAACAAAAGACTTTCTGATCAGTCTTGCCGTCCAAAACTTGATTATGGGCATTAGCAATCGTAATCCAATAAGCCGTCTCCTGTGGATCCCGCACAAAAAGAGCCATCACAGTGAATAGTGGAATCTCATTTATAAATAACTTATATAATATTGTATTCAAATCTATTCTCTCCAATATATCTGATCAAGTAATTATTCATTAAATCATCACTTATTCGATTGTTACTTTTCGCATAATTCATAATTCGAAAGTGACTTTTCCATATAGCTAGCAAATATACTTACACATTATAGACGTATCATAAAATGCGTTTATGGCTGAAGAAATTTGATCTTAATAAAAAAAAAACATGTTGGGTTAAAAGATATTTTTAGTTATGGCAAGAGGGTTTTAATGCATATAGCATAATGGTGAAAAAAATCTTAAAGGTTAGAGAGTTTTTCTTTTTTGGATGGATTAAAGGTTAGAGAGTTGAGTACTTTCAATGCTCTTATTATATCGATATAGTGTCATTTATTTATGTATATCATAATATTGATGAGAGTTGAATTTTGTAATAATAGGGTCCTAGTCTCCTAGAGGACCTAGACTCCTGATTTCGTAAACTACTCATACTAAACAAATATCTACACATATATAACTCTATTTACTTTTTCAAGGAATCAATAATTCAAGTAAGTCAGCCATCCAATGATATATGCCACTAGAATTAACGGACAAAGCAAATAAAAAAACGACATACGTGGTTCACTGATACGATGTATACATATATATCAAGTAACGGGTCATTCTAGGTCCAATAACAGGTCATTAATCTCCCAAAATCGTTCACACATAACAATTTTTTCCGGTGCGTTTTTGTGTGACTCTACGACCATGCAGTGGCATTGGCAAGACCGATTCCGATCCACATAAAGAAATTTGTTTTTCAATATTCCAAATACTTGACAATCGATACAACAAAAACTAATCGTTGCTCTTTATTATCCGAAGTTATTACATTGATAACCAATGTGTCCCCGCGATAGGTTTGCCATGATTTAGTTACCTTTTGGTCACCATAGCTCACTAACACACCTGGCTATTGGCACACAAGAAATTGAAAAATAAGTAGAAAGAAAGAGGAAGGTGTAGGTTGGGCTAGCTAGGTTCTACGAACACCACTGTGAGGTGGAGATTGACTTCTGGGAAGTTGAGTTGGTTCTGAGTGGTGGCGGCTGTGTTGGCAGCTGGACTGAGTGGTGGTGTAGAATGGGAAATTATATATATGGTAACGATTAACGACTGGTTTACGTCAGGCGTATAGTATACAACATGTGATTTAGTCGTTAGATGTATTTAGATGAGCTCCGGCCGATCTCAATGGTCAATTTTTATTTTTCATTAAATCGAACTTCGGGTTGGGGTTTAGAAAATTGGTGCCTGGGGTTTATCCATTAGAGGTTAGGGTATAGTATCATACTCCAAACTCGATTTAATTCATGGTCTAGATAGAGATATCTCACTAGTAGTATTTGACGTATAGTGTACGCCTGGCATCTCGATAGTAGTTTTTTTTACGAATAGAACTGCTTTTATTCCTTAATCCATCAACGGAAACCCAGTACATTCTGACAGCAAAGGAGAAACAAGATCAGCAACAGTCAACCAATCCGCACGAAGAGATCCCAAACGCTCATTCCTCGCCACCCAATCAGCAAGACCATTGAGACGCCTGGGGATAAACATCACCTTGATCCAGGGAGCCAATTGGAGGAGAGAAATTATACGTGCCAATTTGGTCAGTTGGTCATTACGGTGAAGGCAATATCCATAAATAGATGGCTTCTGGACATGCAGTGTTATTCATCCATACCCTATTTGCGCAATATCCTTGATGTGAGGCTTTAATTTGTTTCGGCCGGATGGCTTCTGACAAGTGCTATCCATATATAACATACCATTATCCAAGTACCGGTGGGCAATCGCGATCATGATTATCACTTCCACGTACTCTTCCATCAATGGACTTATTCATTTATTTATTTATTTTACAAAAGGTCATCTTGTATTGATTAATAAAGAGATCGCGTTACATCTTGGTAAAAAGTGAGATTCGAAGATCAAAAGAACGACACGTAGTCGAATACCAATAAAGAGCATTTCTAGCTACCAGATGGGCTACCTTATTATTGCTACTCCGCGACCTACAAATCGTAGATGAATGCCCACGTGTGTTGCCATTACTCTAAGGCACCTTCTGCAAAGATGACTCCAGAATGACTATCGAGTGTATAGGCCTGATTAATCTTATCACTGACCACACCTTCGCGTCTCCTCCCATCCTAACCTGCGGGATTCCACAATACAGAGACATCACTGGATGGCCTCTCGGAGAGCTAGGAGTTCTATTATTGATGGATCATCAATATCTGCGAAATGCACCCCTTTGGCCATCTATGAACTTTGTTGTTCAAAAAATGAGATAATTGACAGAGGACTAAGGATATATAAAATTATTGCCGTAAAAAAAAGATATATAGAATTATATATTGTGTGGTTTACTAACACAATTTTTATAAGGATGGAGCGATTTTATTCGTATAAAAAAACAAAATAATCCATATAAAGACCAAAAGAGGGAACACAGGAGGATCAAAAGGTTGATCCAAGGGACAACAAGCACAATCCAAAGTACCTTTGCTCACAAAAAAGGTAAAAAACAGCTTACCAAGGCTAACGACTAATAAGTGCATCAATGTTTTGAGGATGTGGGCCTTGAATCTTTAAGTGTCTTCATCAAATTCGACCAAATTTTGCTCGTATAGGACACATGTGCTTGCAAGATTTACTAGCAGATTGTGTATTTGCTACATCCATGAACATATGGGAGAATGATGCATCATTGAGAGAAAAATGTTCATACTAGAGATTACAGATGGTTACAAGCATTCACGTAACTCAAAATTTATGCTCTCCGAGTCGCATGGCGTTTTGACCGTTAGTCTCAACAACTAGTGATGTTGAGAGAAAACTAATTATAAATCTTAGGGTTAATATCACTATAAATCCCAAACTATCAAAACAATGTCATGTATCCCAAACTATTCAATATTTTTTTAAAAAAAGTCTTTTTTATCACTAAAAAACCTAATCTTATAGCACTCTCTTACACCCTCTCAAACGAAAAGCCAACCCACGAACTCGAAATTTTTACAGTGCACCGTAAGTTGTGCTTAAATCAATTGTTAATGTTGGGGCTCGTGTCTAGATACTCAAACATATGACCCACTTGATTAAACCATGTCTTCTGATATCATGTCATGCATAAACAGTTTTGTTTCAATAACTCAAATTATTGAGAAAAATATTAATTTTGAATTTTATACCACTTTCTTACCTTAAATTAAATTAGTAGGAAACCGCGCGTACTACCAGTCCCGCACTAATCAAATACCCTGGACTTTCCATATTCCAGATTACTTTTATCGTCATCTAACTTATATATCGAATCATCGATACGTTCCTCGAGCTCGTGCACATTTTTCTCACCACTTCCTTAAAAAAAATTCATTATTATTCCTCTAGCTAGCTTTATCGAGGAACATGATTCCCTTCTTTACTTTTAAAAATCATGTTTTGAGCTCTAGTTGTTAACGTTTTAGGGATCGATATTCACTCGTGAATCGCGGCCCACTTTTGGTGTTGGATGACTTGATGGGCATTAGCCCACTTGTACTTGATGAGAGCATTGGGCAAGGACATGACACAACTATAGATTCTCTCTTTTCTCTCACGCCTACAAATCGAAATATACAGATCTTGCTTCAACATACTTCAATTTCAGGCATCAATCTGTTGATGGCAATTTCATTAATGTCGTGCAACAGATCGAATGTACTGTTGGTTCGGTCCTTAATCCATAGAAGTCTCTTAATATTAGACCATGGTTCTCTTGAATTTGGTCCGTTCCGATCCGAACCGAACAGTTGCACCACCTAATAAGAGTGTGCAACGGTTTGGTTCCGTAACGAACTGCGTTGGACCAAACCAACGATTGAACCAGATCATACCGAACCGAATATAATACGTTCCGAATCTTTTTGTACTATACAAATTTTATGATGTGGTCCGGTTATTGATATGTGTTATTCTCATTAGTTTTGGGGACTAGACCATTCCACACTCCTTCCTCTATATAAAGACACATCCTTGTCCTTCAATTATCACATCACTACCAACCTAACTTCGTAGCTATATATCGTAACATCATTTTTTCTCTAACGTTGCCATCTCGGACAATATAACGACGACATGTCGTCGGTGGCGGCATGCAAATCCTCATCGCTTGAAGACGTGTTGTCGGACTCCGAGCTCTCGCCGGCGCGTCGCCTCCGAAGGGCTGCCTCAATCGAGCTCAAAGCTCTCTTCCGCCTCGCCGGGCCAGCCATCGTCGCTTACCTGCTCAACAATGTCGTCTCGACGTCTACCCAAATCTTCTGCGGCCATCTCGGCAACCTTCAGCTCGCCGCCGCCTCCCTCGCCAACGGCGGCATCCAACTTTTCGCATTTGGCGTCTTGGTACGCATGAATCCATATATTCGTTCAATATTCATGCATTTCTTATATTTTCGATACCCTAGACTTTCCAAGGAGTTAGGAGAAACTTGTACTTGTCCATATATCATCTACTTTAAAAATAACGATTAATATTAGAGGTGGTGAGAATTTAAACACGTAACTTAAAAAAAATAAAATTAACTTTGATATCATCGTATAATAAACTAACTGGTTCCAATTATTCGAACCGTTAGATGTCTCTGACGACTTTGTTACGTGCAATATTTCCTCTTTACGTACAGCTGGGAATGGCGAGCGCGGTGGAGACACTCTGCGGCCAAGCCTACGGCGCCGAGAAGCCCGAACTGCTCGGCCTATACGCCCAACGATCCGCCGTCCTCCTGACGGCGACCGGCGTCCTGATCACGATCCTCTACCTCTTCTCCAAGCCCATCCTGACCCTGCTCGGCGAGTCGCCGGAGATCGCCTCCGCCGCCGCCCTCTTCGTCTACGGCCTCATCCCGCAGATCTTCGCCTACGCCGCCAACTTCCCCATCCAGAAGTTCCTCCAGGCGCAGAGCATCGTGGCTCCCAGCGCGTACATCTCACTCGCCGCCTTCGGCCTGCACCTCGTCCTCAGCTGGCTCGCCATCTACCGGCTGGGCTGGGGCCTGCTGGGAGGCTCCCTCGTGCTCAGCTTCTCCTGGTGGGCCATAACCTCGGCCCAGTTCGTCTACATCGTGATGAGCCCACGGTGCAGGGAGACGTGGACCGGGTTCAGCCCACAGGCGTTTTGTAAGCTGGGCCGGTTCGCTAAGACATCGGCGGCTTCCGCTGTAATGCTCTGTTTGGACGTTTGGTATTACCAGAGTTTGGTTCTCGTTGCCGGGTTACTCCAAAATTCCGAAATTGCCCTTGCTTCCCTCGCCATATGGTAATTAAGAATATATATTTTTCCGCACTGATGATTTTGATTTTTTATAGATAATTAATAACAATTATTAGAAAATAAAAACCACCAATATTTGCATGGCAGCACAACAATATCAGGATGGGTCTTCACTGTATCAATGGGCTTCAATGCAGCTGCAAGGTAATTAATTAGTTATGTAATTAATTACTTTATTTAACAAATCAAGTGTTTTTTTACCTCTGATTACAGCTAATTTTGTGGTTAATTAATATATTTATGCACAGCGTAAGGGTGAGCAATGAGTTAGGGGCAGGGCATCCGCAGTCGGCGTCGTTTGCTGTGTGGACGGTGACACTGCTCTCACTCGCCATTGCCATGGTGTTCGCCGTGGTTGTCATGGCGTCGCGCCACGTCATCAGCTACGCTTTTACCGGTGGCACCACGGTGGCTACGGCCGTCTCGGAGCTCAGTCCTTTCCTCGCCGTCACCATCTTGCTTAATGGGATTCAACCAGTTTTATGCGGTAAGTAAAGCAACAACAATTTTTTTTTTAGTATTAGGCGTGCATTTCTACGACTTTTGAAAACTCTATCAACTATAGCCAATCGAGAGACTAATGCATGAAATAAAATTATGGTTAATATTATGAAAATGTTCTCTTATTTTTTTTAAGTCATCAAACGGTTAATGACTCCCTAATAGTAGCTTTAAAAATTGGGTTGGCGCTAATTGTCTTTTGTGAATTTATTCTGATATATGAGGAAATAGGAGTGGCAGTTGGGTGTGGATGGCAAGCATTTGTGGCCTATGTCAATGTTGGATGCTATTATGTAGTGGGCCTTCCTTTGGGCTGCATTTTGGGCTTCAAGTTTGAACAAGGAGTCAAGGTAATTAACTATTAATTACTAACCCTAAATCACCTTGTTAATCCTACTTACTTCACTCTAGCAAATAGAAATCCTGATAAGGGATTAAACATGTTTATTGGTGAATAAAAAAACAGGGAATATGGACGGGGATGATTGGAGGAACTTTCATGCAAATGGTTATCTTGCTGTGGGTTACTTATCGAGCTGACTGGAATATAGAGGTAAAGAATTGTACTTTTCAAAAAAAATTGTCACAGGTTTCGAAACTTTAACTTCTTTAATATAATTTTCATTTCACAGGTGGAAAAGGCCAAACTCGGTATGCAAAAATGGGAACGTGGGATACAAGCTTTCCGCCAAAACGAATCTTGATTTGTGATATGAATTATTAGTTGAAGATCTAATGCTTTGAATCTTAAACGGAGTGTTAACTATATCATTGTGTTGGAATATGAATGCTCGGATTGTATTGCCATGTTCGTTATTGTGATATGTAATGGAGAGTTTAAAACATAAAATTGTGTCGAGAATGATAACTATAACTAGAACTGGACAAAGCTTAGAACTTGCCTTAACATAATATAGGCAGGAATTCCCATGAGACTATATGTTCAAAATTAAAACGTCGATTCTAAACCTGATTGATGATATTTTGACCAAATTAAAAGGTTTGATATATAATTCAATCTGGTTTTCATTAACAAATTCAAGAAGAGAGAAATAATAGACAGGTAAACTAGTAAGGACTGCCTTACTAAGGACGAGTCTACCACCAGTTGAATGATATTTATCCTTCCAACCATCCAGTCTTTTCCTGAAATTTGCTATGATCGGATCCCAAGTCGAGATGGCATTAGGCTTAGCACCAAGTGGATAACCAAGATACTTGGGCGGATTGCTGCTCCATTTACACCCAAATATGCCAGCATAGAAACTCGGCTCAGGGACATCACCCACTGTGTACATAATAGATCTGTCAAGGTTGATCTTCAGTCCTGTAACCGATTGAAAACAAACGAGAATGGCCAGAATGCTAATAACTTGCTCGTGGGAGACATCGCAGAATATAAGGGTATCATCAGCGAACAAAAGGTGGGTGACCTCTCCCTGCTGTTGACTTTCATACATGTAGAAACCATTAATTTTGCCAACACCTTTCAGCTTAGAAATTGGCCAACACCTTTCAGCTCGTGGGAGACATCGCAAAATATAAGGGTATCGTCAGCGAACAAAAGATGGGTGACCTCTCCCTGCTGTTGACTTTCATGCGTGAAGAAACCATTAATTTTGCAAACGGCCGGCAAGGTCTCCTAAATCCTGATAATATACGGTGAATTGGTATTATTTCCATTATAAATAATCATAATTATAATAATTTCCAAGGCTTTAATTGTTGGATGGCTTAGATTCTCATATTAACAGAATCATTCATGTTACATGAAGACCTTAAAGAGGGGAAATTAATAAGGATTAGTTCATGCCCCAAATAAATGGGAAAAAATTAATTAGGATTAATTAGCAAGCAGGCTTTGAGCCTGATGGGTAAACGGGGAACAGGCCCGCAACAAACGGCCTAGGGAAAATAAGTTCACGACATAAGTGGACCGATGCTACAAAATAATGGTGAAAAATGGCAGCAGATCACATTACAAACAAACATTGAAAAATGACTCTGGACTGATAAGCTATCAGCCACTCTTTAAAAAAACTTCAAATCCCGAGTTAAATTTCAATAGATTATCGTAATTTTGTTATTTTTAGTCTTCGTCATCGCTCAAAATTTCGATGTTCCCACTGCTTTTAATGTCATTTGGAGAATTCATGAGAACAAAGAAGAGTATATTAATATAATAAACTAAGATAAGTTAAAACTATATATATAAATGATGCTAGATTCAGTGAATACAAGCATGGAAACCTGAGAATCAAGAACCCAAAATGAGATTAACTAACAATTCACACAACAAAAGGGATCCACTAAACTTTCTTTAGTAGATTACGGAGAGATTAAAGTAATTAGTGTCATGATGAAGAAGTGATTATCCTCGCGGTGCATTGATTATGGGCGGTTAGAAGGCGACCATTAGTTAGTTATTAATGTTAGTTAGGAAGACAAGAACTGGGCAAAGAGGATTCATTTCCCCACCGAGCCAACCAAATCCATTATTATGGTTATCAAATGGTAGGGTGTGGAAAGTACAGCCAGGCCGGTGTACGGCCAGAGAAGAGCAATTCACTCCCTCGGATTCTTCCTTTTTGGTTGGAGGTTTATACCTAGCCTTCTTAGTCGGTTCGGTTGTATGTAATTAACTACAACTGTTTATTCAGTTATCATTAAATGAATTTTGCACCGTTTATATTAGTTGTGCATACTATCAAGAAACACCCTACACTAGTTACACTGGTTACGAGGTGGATAGTGAGATGACTAATGTTTGGAAGAGTATCTTGATACATAAAGTTGTGCCTACTATCAACCTGTAGATTAGACATGTGTGTTCGTGGAGTCTCCTTAAAGTATGTGGATCGCTCTAACATGCATACAGAGTCGTTATTGTACGTAGTAGCATAGGTGTGTGAGTGGATACCCCCCTAAAGATCTCCATAGAGTTGGGGTTGGTCAGCTCTCTCGCTTGCAAGTGTACAAGGTACTCCTTTGTGCTCTGCATACGATATGCATGATTTTTCGTGCTCATTTGGATTTCGTTTCTTTTGCTTCTCAATTAACAATACGACATCAACATTATATAAAAGAAGAAGAAAAAAAGCTATATCTTCAGGTCCTGTCCGGACGAATATACACCATTTTAAGTGAGCCAACCGGACAACGCTATGGATACATCATCGAATAAGCATTGGAGCAAAGCAATGTGTACATGATACATACGTTCCAGAATGTGCAACAAGTTAAGCGAGTCGGTTTCTTCGTGCAGGAATGACATTATGATGACAATGTTCACCCAACCTTTCATTACCTATTAAGCAAGGTAGTTCTCCCTAAGTGACTACAATTCATAAGTAAGCTTCAAAACAATGGAAACACCAAAAAAAAGCTTCACGAAAACCAGGTTAATTAATCAATTCAATTACCTTTTTTTAGAACAAAGAAAACGGCCTTTTTGGGGCATTTGGCACCGTTGTTTTGCTATATAGTTGGTCAAGGACGATGACATGAGGATCAGTAGACTACCCGCCAATCAATGCATGCACCAGAAACGCCAAACCGGCTCCGTAACACACTGATATGATTGAATTTATTGATATTATTGGAGAGGGACGTTGACGCCACTACTTTCGGATCTTTGGCCACTCATTTCCCTAATCCCTAATAACTAACCAATTAATTACCACCCTTTCCTGATTCAGCCGTCCTAGACTCCTAATTATAAATCCAAATCATCTTTGTTTAGTGGTGGTTCAACTGTTTTCTATCGTTAAAATCGCCCACCGTTTTTAGTTCGGTATTCGATATTTCCGATGCTACTCGCCAGTACAGTAGTGTTTCTTAAACCTCGCTTCAAGCGTGATAAAAAAACGAATTGTGTTCAACTAAAAGGTACTTACAGGAATAGCATGGAAATCAAGTATATCCTCCAAAAATATTTTCTTATAATTAACTCAATGTATATAGTAATCGATAGTCCACATTAGTTGGTTAATATTTTATGGTTAGATGGCAGTATCGGCGTCGATGTCACGTTGCACGCCTTTTTGGGTTTTTTGGCATAGAAATGGGCATGGGATTGGGAGGAGCTCACATCAACCACCAACCCATCCTAACTCCTAGCCATTTTTTCAACACTATCTTCTGCGCTTTTGTTGCATACATAATAATAATAATAATATGCACCCCCACTTTGAATTTTAATGTAAAGTAAAGCAACCTTAATCTTCATTATCTTATTAACTGTTTTTCAATTATAGTTTGGAAATTGCAATTCCCGATCAATCCTATTCACAATTACCCATAACCATGTCAGGAGTTAGTTAGTAAGTTACTACACCAATATTATATTGAGGGGTTTGATTAAGATGCAAGCAATACAGTGGAGCATATACTAGATGAAAATATTTTGAGGGTTATGATGCTTAATTAATTATCCAATACAATATTTTTTTTAACGAATATACATTGCACGTGGCCTCGCACATAGGCAAATCAATAACATAAATCAACCGTTAGTAGTGTATTTGGTATCCTCTTAATCCAACATAAGTGGGATTAACTCGGAGTTTATCGAGCGGGTGTCCTATGATTGAGATTATTTTACCCGAAATAAGTCGTATTCTCGTATTTTTAGTACAAGACATCTATTTTATTTGAGGTCATCCTACGTACTTAGTAAGCATAATTTGCTCAATTAGCGATTAATTAGGAAAAATTTTGTATCGATAAAGAACGAGAAAACCCTATAATACAAGATTTTTCGATTGTTTATTGAAGATAAAAATGTTCCTAAACCTGGAAAAGAAGATACTTGGGCGCACCAAAAAGAAGTAACAGGAGGAGGGAATAGAGATTTAATTACCATTAATTAAGGTAGGTAAAAATTTCAGCCAAGAGGGCACATTATACATTGCTCAATTATATTACTTCTTCCCCCCAAAATAACCACACCAAAAAAAAGTAAAATCCGAATAAAAATGGTAAAAATATAATATATTTTAGTTTATTATCACAAGGAAGGGAAGATGGAAGCTGCAGCAGCAGCAGGAAGAACAACACAGCCACCACCACCGGCGGCGGCGATGGACCGGCCGCCGAACAACCGCTTCCACTGAATCCTAATCATCCGGTAAATCCTCAACCTCGCCGCCGACATGCTCAGAACCACGCCCTTCCTCAGCTTCTTCAACCTCTTCCCGATCCTCACCTTCAACTTGCACAGCTTGATCTGGCAAAACGACGCGCCCCGCCGCGAATCGTCGGCGCGCTGCATCACCTTGTAGATCAGGAACTGAGCCCGCCGGTGGAATACTTCGTCTGGGTCTTCCTTGTCCAGCTTGGCGTAATTACCGCCGCCGTACGGCCGGTTCAATATTTTACTGCTCATTTTGTTTTTTTTACTGTGGGGGTAACAAAATTGGGAGAGAGAGGAAAAGAAGGGGAGAGAATCAGAGAAAGTAGAGATTCAGCTTGAAGAGTGTGGAAGGAGGAATGGGGGAAGGAAACAGTGTATTTATAATGTGGAAGAGGGCAGGGAGAGAGGTCAGAGTCCTATTCTGATGTCATTAGGAGAGATGGATGATGGAGTTAAGCAGTCCCATGTGTATTTTTAATGTTAAGTGTGTTGGTTGGGACTTGGGATTAGAATATTGATGACTTTGAGGGTAGTCCCTAGCTGGCCTTACAATGTACTTAGAAGGCTTTTTTTTTTTTTACCTCTATTGGGGTTGGAGGGGATGGCATGGTTTGATCCAAAATCAGATTGAAGTTTGTACTAGTACATGTGTAGATTGAGCTGTTCAAGAAAGTTGAGGATCATTGGGTCAAACCCATAAGAGAAAAGGTGTTTGATTGTAATTTGACTAAATGGGTATGTGTCTGATTTGATCGTTCTATTTATTTCTTTACTGTTTAGGGATTCAGTAAAATAATTATGAAAGATGGTAATCAATCTCACGAGAATTTGATTTGATATGATATAAATATTATTTTCATTTGATTCGTTCGGATTGCTGTTCGGCCATATTTAAGAGTATAGTTTTAGTCTACTCATAATATGATGAATTTAGAGAGAGTTGGATGATATTGAGATTTTGTAGCTCATCGAATTTTATAATTTCACACATCAATCGTCAGATGATGAAGTACCAAGTAAGACTATGACATGGTTAGGCTTGTGCAAATTAATAGTGATTTAAGTGAATTAGACTTGATACAATTGTAAAGATTTCGAGTACTTGGGTATTGATCAATTCCTTATAATCCTAAAGGTTATTGACTAATCTCATTCGAGCAGGCTATGCCTATGTTTGGCCCGGATTTTTAAAAGTGTTTTTTATGCTTCGAAAGTTGAAGCAGTTCCAAACACCTCTAAAAGCTCGACTTTTGAAAAGTTGAAAAGTGCTTCTGTATAACATAACAGCAGAAGCTCCAATTTGCAGCTTCCGCGAAAAAGTTGTTTTGAAAATAAAAAATTTATCCTTATAAAAAATCATATATATATATATGCACTTTTCCTCAGTTTTTCATTCTATTAGTCTAAAAAATATCTTAATTTACAATTGTAATAAATTCGACAAGAAATAGCAACGATAGAGACTAAATACCATTGGTAACTTTGGTAGACATACCTCCACCTATTCTAGGTGATATCCTCGTACTAGACCAATAACGTCATTTAATATTATAAATTTGATGATTATAATATACCTTTGAACTAATGTGAATAAAGAAAGTTGCTATGAGTAACCCCCGTAAAATCCACCTATATGATGTTTTTCACTACAACCTCACAAGCAAAAACGAACGAAAATGTCACAAAAAAAACGGCATATTACTTTAGTTTAATTTTCTGATTAACTTATTTCTCATCTCCATTGACCATATCAATCGACCTCTTCACAGAATCACAAGTGCAGGCAGCTGTTTTGGGGCTGCTGTCCCAAACTTTGTTCCAAATGGCACTACTCATCATTTTTATATTATATTATATTATATGCGTCCATTGTGACTAGAGAGGAGATCTTCGTCCCCGACTTGTCACCTAGCTAATAGAGAAGCCGGAACAATGTCACCAACCATGAATGTCAACGAAAGAGGAGCTAGAAAAGGCAATCGAATTATGATAAACCCTTTTCTTTATATATATGTTGGAGAATGATTGATTCCAGGCCGATCGAAAAGACTTGAAAATTCCAGGGTGTTAATTGATAGACTATATATTACTCAATAATTGAGGACGAATTTGTGAGGTTTATTGTAGATGCTTAATTGGGGGCGGTGTAAGACTAGATAGGTCATAGGTGTTTGTTTTTCGTTATATAATAGTTCTGTAAGGGATTTAATATATTTTCGACTTTCAGATTTAAAACTAATAATAGTATCATTAGACGCGGAACCCTTGGAATTTCCCGATCCCGTAACAAGCCTTGATTATACAAAACAAAGCTTCATTGTAATGTAAAGTGAGCTAGGTCAGGGTTGGTATCACTGAATTATGCATTTGTGCATAATGATATATATGAGTTTTTTATTTTGAGTGAGACCAGATATATGGGGTGAGATTATTATTATTATTATTTTCTATTTTTTCATTCAACTTGTGTCTTCTTTGTTTCAACTCGAATTATAATTTTTTTTAGCAGAGATGAACCGATTTCATTGTTATCTCCAAAATTATATTCATTTTTATACATTTCTTGAGAAAAAAAATTGTACAACCCAGTACACTCGTTACCACCCTGGTGGCACATAGGGAAAAAAGAAAAGGGTTAATTGTGAACTACATATTTATGGAGGAAAAATTCAGAACCTAATATTTTACCTTACCCCAGTACTCTACAGGGTGGTAACCATTGGTACTGTTAGTATGTGGCATAAGATTCATTATTGAACTTCTCTAAAAAAAACTCGAGGTTCCAGACAAATTGGTTCTTATGTAGTATAGTATCAGAGCTTTTGTGATCAAAATGTCTTATATATTCGAATTTCAACGACCCTGTTTCTATATTGTACAAACTTTAAGCTCGTATAACCGACTTGAAGTCGAGCGAGCGTATTAGTATGTGATTTAAGATCTGATATAAAATATCATAGATATATATATCATCTAACATTATTAACCCTTTCCCCTCTTTTTTTCTTGCCGAGTATCCAATCCTGATCTCTAAGAAGTAAATTCTGCACCGGCTGAGGCACGAGGGTATGGCCGATCATTGCCTGGTGGAGGCAAGGTTGACACAGACAGCAAGCACCACTCTTTACTATTAAATATAGCAAATCAAGAGCTAGCCACCCAGTTTCCGCGTTATACAGTGGAAAACGGACAGCCAAACACATGCCAATGGATCGTATGTAGGAAATTTCCCACCGCCGGCGTGAAACGGCACATTTATTCACCCAAATTATTGCCGGGACCGACCGATCGACCGACGACAGTGACAGTGAGGGGGGAAGTAGTATAGTACGACTCGAAACTTAAGAAGAAGTCAACTCTCTCTTATCTTATCATCATTTTGCGTTCGCATCCATGACTGCACTACACACACCCACATGCCGCCTCTGCCTTTTTAAACAGTTTTCTGTGCCTCCAATAATGTTATCGTCTCACGTATATGATGACCGGGGAAAGATTGAAGTATGCCAGATGTGCTAGAAACAACGACTTGTGGGGGGAGGAGTAGGTCGCGACACGACATGGGATTTACGTGGTTCGTGATTACAAACGTTTATTATGACATGGTTATATGATGGTCGAGTTTGTTATTTTTCATATATGAATTCCCGACTCATTCTAACTCGTCCAATTTTGCACTTGATTGGTCACACATATGACTCGCGTTTTAGAAATACTCGATTTTGAGAATAATACAGTTTTCGCTTTACGAGATACAACTTGTCTAGTATGAACAATCTCATGCGTCTACTCTTTGACTTTATACACTGTCCAAGCTGGATTTGTTTTTGTTCATTTGTTTGGCTGACTAATCGAGTGATAACTCACTCTCTCTTTCTCTGCCTTCAATAATTCTGCTGAAATTATTAAACAACGAACTAGGAAACAAGACTGGATGGTGACTGCTTATGTTCACCGACTCGTGCATTATTTAGTAATACTTTGGGAAATATGGGCATATGCTTTTTGAACAGTGATTTTGATCGGATGACTGCATGCTATCAATGATCGTAGAACAAATAACTGTGTCGTCAGATAACTGTTACGAGTGTTCGAACATCTTAACGCGTTGATTAATGACCATCGTTCGATTGTGTGTATCACAATTAACAGTGGATGAAAGCACGTAATGACAATTACTTATACAACTGCGGTCTAGAGGCCACGTTCATCTGTTTCTGAATGTCTGACGGCTATAGGCTTTAGTTACTTGGGCAGAGAGGAATACAAGAATTTTCGGGTTCTTATATAGTTGCAGCAATTACAACAGTCATGGGCATCAAGCTGTGCCATTTCTGCGATTACAAGCCATTAGTGTCACTATTTCAGCTTCTTGGTGAAGTCGGAGAGGTGGAGAAGCTGAATCCGAGGGATGCTTTCTGCTTCCTCTCTCTCTTTCTGCGTGTTGTATCCCCAGTCACCTGTTCAGATCACCCATTAACGTCTTCTCTGGAGTTGCAAGTTCACATAAATGGAAGAATCAACACAGTTGGGAAGAATGTGGGAGAAGAGAGGAAAGTCTGGTACCTAAGTACAAGTTCCATCCATCCAATTCTGGCTCTTTGATCACATTCTTGAGGGTTGCAAGCCGATCTTCGACGAAACTGGCCATGATCAAGCAGCACAAGTTAATATGTAGCAAAGCTGGCTTGCTCATAGCACGTTTAAAACAACTGGAAGGAATCTTACTGCAGGTTCAGCCCCTGGTGCTCTGGTCTCTTCTGAAGTTGCTTCAACACTTCCACTTTGGGTCTGAAATCAGAGACATAAACGCCAAGGTAGAAATGGGATGGAACTTAGAGAACCACGAACCTTAATTTTTCACTTGGACCACCAAATTAGTCTTGTACATAGACTGACCCGGTTCCCAGACCATAGATTCTTTCAGGTGGGATTGTCACACCTGCCAGCTCCCTCAGTAAAGCATCTGCAAATCGGCCCTAGCATAGAGACAATACGAGATTAAATTGAGGAAAGGAATGACTTGTGTAGAGATGAAGTAGATCGATTCACAGGCGCTTTACCTGTTTGGTGGTGACTATGTATATTGTGGAGCTTGCAAATTTCAGGGCTTCAGGAACACCAGGATAGAATCTGCAATGGAATTAGTTCACATTCAGAAACTTCAAACTTCAGAGCCAATTCTATTCAAACACACAAAGCAACGTCTAGATAATGTTATACTGATGTACCTGTTAGCTCCAATCCAAGTTGTGAAGTCTGTTTCCAACCACTCATCCCTGACCTTTCCGAAAAACTCAATCAGTTCATCTCTATTTCGCTCTCCCCATTCTTCCATGACCACGGGTTTGATCTTCATCCAGCTTTCCAATATTGCATCCACTGTGAGTCCCTCAGCAACCTTTCAAATCGAACCACAAAATCATACAAATTACAAAGCAATTCTAACTGATCAGTTAGCAAACAGATGTGCATTGGCATCTAATTCCACTGTCACACCCATCCTTTCCTGCGACATCGATCCAATTCTTCTACCGTGCCTGCTTAAAGCCATTGCTGTGCTGCTTCCCTCCTCGCTCACTTCGTCCAGACAGCTGCTCTAACAAAGCTCCAACCTTGGCCTAGTGGGACAAATGCAGGGAAGCAGCACGGTAGGTAGACTGGCAGAAGTGAAAGCAGCAAAGCAACAGCTGCAGCCAGGCAAAGCAGGAGGAGAGATCGATGTACCAAGGGAACTAGGGAAGCCAATTAGGGATGACAATTCCCTACCCACGGGTAATTATACCCAAACCCAAATAGACCCATTGATAATAAACATTGGCATCGCTAAAGCCAATGAGATGATATGAACATTGATTCACCCTAACTGCTAATTGACTAAGAAAATTTCTCATTCTGCCAAAAGGTATACCGACCGAGGATGTCCTCGTTGAGGGCACTCTTATCTCCAGCAACAACCTCACAAGCAGCAAAAGTTCATACCCAGTTTCCACAACAGGACGCACCTGAAATAGCACGAGTCATAAACCCGAGTCAGTAAGTCTAAGTGAAGACATTCGGTTAACATGACACATCAAGCAGATTGCCACATGAACACGTTAAACGAACACGGCGCCCAAACGTTCAGCAAGCGTTGCTCGAAATAGATATATAAAAACAATGGTGACCTATATAAGAATCTGTTGGAAATGTGTATGAATAGCTTTGAAAGCTATAGAGTCTCAAGTGGAAAAACTACCACATTGGTAGTTTTACTTGGTGAAGTGATTATAAAGATAGGAGCCTCTCTCCTAAGGGCATGCCCCTTGGGGTGACCCACTTTTGTGGAAGAGGGAGGACCTAACGGACCACCACACACGCGCGCGCCGTCCGTCCGACCGGTCGGTTGGATGGATGGATCACTTGAGACTATATACATATTTTTTGGAGAAATTCCGAACGAAATTAATTATTAATCGGTTATTCTGAGGAATATTCGAAGGGATAATCGATTGAAAAGGAATATTCGAAGGATAATCCCAGCAGGATTTATCCTATAAATAGCCGCCTCCCCAAGCTAGAGGGTATATTCCTAGGGGTTCGGCTCCTATAAATAGCCGCCTCCCCAGCCCCTCTAAGCACACTACAACGAGCATAAACACAATAGAGAGAGTGTTCAGAGAGCTCCGGTTTTCGCACAAAACCGCGAGTACCCAGAGGAGCTGTTTTATCCTGGAGACGACCGGTTGATAGTCTGCCGTGCGCATCGAGGGCAGTGCCGTGAACGTCTTAAAGAAAGCGACCTAGTCCGCGACTCAGCTCCAGATTCGGTATCCTCATCTTGTTGTTGTTCCGTTTCTAACAGAATCAAATTCATCAAATCCTGCAGGGAAGAGCAAGGCGGCTTACAGTGTACATCTGAGCAACGATCCACTCCTCAGTGGCTGAATCCATGGCGGTAAACAGGTCCGGCCATCTCAGCTTGCCAGCCTATTGGAAAAGAGAACGCAACAAACAGACTGAAGGTTTCAATTCGAAGGAAACGCAACAGATTAAATGGATGTCAATTTGATGCTCGGAATTTTCTTAGAATGGAAAGGGAAAAAAGGGATGACAGTGGGGGAGGAGGCAGAGACCTTAACGGCGGAGAGAGAGCTTTCTCCGCAGCTATCGCATAGAACTCCATCGAAGTCCAAGGCGTAGAGGTCCGCCATTTTCTTGCTTCTCTTCTCTACAACGCTTCTGCTCCTCAATTTTGAAGATAGGAAGATTTGCCGCTGCCGATTACCCGCCACTCGCCGGCTCTATATATATAGGAGATTCGCGCTGGTTCTTCCGTCGCTTAAACGACGCTGCTTTGAGAATCTGTCGGGTCAAATGATTGGTCTTAGAATTTAAGGGCCCAGTAATAAGTCTCAGCCCACGAGGCCCATTAAGGGCCCGGTTATCCACGACCCGGCACCCGCCCCACACAAGACGCAAAATACTTCCATTCCTCCCTTCCGATACCGGCCATCCGTTTTCCCGGCCGGCCGTACAGTTTTCCGTTATTGCATCGGTTCATTTTTTCCCCCCTCCCATCTGTTCCCGAGCAAAATAGAAACGCCGCCGCCGCCGCCGCCACGGCTTGCGGGAATGTGGAGAACGCTGCGGATTTCTTGATACCTGCGCCGCTTCCCTCGTGGACCGACTTCTTCCCGGCTACTGCCGAAGCGATTTCAATTTATCTTTCGTCGCGCCGGCGAACGCCAATACTGTGAGTTTCCCTGCCACTTTCTTATGCTAAGATTTCTTCTTTTTGCTTTCTTTTAACGCCGCAAATTCGGAATTAGGGAAGAGAATTTAGTAAGGTAGTTTCAATGGCGGTTTCCCTGTCCGAATTTCACTGCAACTTTAATTTCTGTCTAGAATGCCATTGCCAGTTTCCGTCCGTGAAAAGTCGACCTACCTTGGCCTGTTGATTGTCAGTTTTAGTTGAAGCGACTAAGCTTTCTGAGTACGTTGCAAACATGTAAATTGCTGCTAAAGTCATTTAATTTCACCTTATTGCAGCATTTTTTGGTGTTCTTCTGGGGGAAATTTGTCTGGATTGTGGATGTATTGACGATGGAGGAGGAGTAAGGATGATTCAGGTTCAATGATATGACCACCTGGTGACTGATTTACAACAAAGAAATGTTTGCATTGACAATGTAAGTTAATCATTTCTCATTTGGAGGGGAAAGCAGCAGAATTTGAGTAATGTTCACTATTGTTTGCTGAGTTTAGAGAAAGGTAGGGCTAGCTATGAGCTAAAGATGGTGTAATTCAGGAAAACATAGAGTAACAAATGTGTTCACAATTACTGCCTGAATCTAGAGATGTTTGTTCTTGTGGTAGAATTGTTAAATTGTGAATCTTTTGTGGGGCTTTATTATGCATTTTCCTTATATGTAGATATATTCAAGGGGAGACTGCTGCTGTCACATTAATTGTGTGTGCCGTTGAAAAAGCGTTACGTTTACCTCTCGCTGATTCGGCTTTAAGATTGAAAATTTTGCCTATATATAAGCTTCCGGAGCCTTCGAGGCAGTGAGCAGCTTCCCCAGCAATATTGTGAGGTCCAAGGGAAAATCCAGCCCTGTTGTGATCTTTAAAGAGAACAGGTGTGCCACCCTTTTCATTCTTTCCTACAGAGAAGTTCGTATGTATCACGTGATTTTTATCACAAAATCGTTAGATCTGGTTACTTCTATATGGTCCTATATAGATCTTGTGAAGTATTGTGTTTAATTTTTGAATTTCATGTATATTTGCATATAGTTCGTAATCATGCGTGCTTCTGTTTTGTGCAAGAGATCCCTTTTCATTTTTCCCTACAGAGAAGTTCGTATCTACCACCCGATTTTTATTACAAAAAATCTTTATATCTGGTTATTGTTCGTTATAGTCCTATATAGATCTTGTGAAATATTGTGTTTGTTTTTGGAATTTCATGTACATCTGCGTATAGTTCGTAATCATGCATACTTCTGTTTTGTGCAAGAGAATTGGATATGACAGATCTAAGGACCTAGATGCCTTTGCATCTCGTGTGATCTAATTCTATATAATCCTGGATGGATCTTGTGAAAAATTGTGTTTGGTTTTGGATTTTCATGTACATGTGCACATACTTCGTAATTATGCGTGCTTCTGTTTTGTGCAAGAGAATTGGATATGACAGATCTAAGAACCTAGCTGCCTTTGGATCTCCTGTGATCGAATTATATATAATCCTGAATGAATCTTGTGAAATATTGTGTTTGTTTATCGAATTTCATATACATCTGCACATAGTTGATTCATAATGATGGATGCTTTTGTTTTGTGCAAAAGAATTGGATATGCCAGATCCAAGGACCTAGCTGTCTTTGTATCCCCTGCCATTGAATTCTAACCCTCCCCCTTTTGCGTCTGCCTTTGATTGATTCAGGTTTCCCTCTCAAATATTTGACTCTATAGGAAAATAATTTATTGGATTACCCTTTGCATATTACTATTTGATAGCAATGCCAACTATGCTGAAGTCTTGTAATTCTTCAGTTGAGAACTCCTGTTTGGGTATTGATGTCTCTTTGGACAATTTTACTGTTCTGTTGGAAGTTCTTTAAAAACAATTTCCTATCTTCTCACACAAGAAATTTGATATTTACAGTAGTCTTTGTTTAATGCATGTGACCGGAAAAAAGGTCTTATCACTCTCTAGTTTTTTCAAAACAATTTACATGCAATTCATGAATTACGCTAGGAACTCCAAAATACATGAGGGTAGGCTGTATCTCAAAAAGTGCATTCTACACATGTAGGTTCAACATATGATTTATTTCACCTTCTCCCATAGTTTACTGCGGAAATACACGAAATCAAACTTTTTCCCCACAAGTACACGTTGCATGATGGCATGCAACTGCGACAAGTAACATCCATTTACAAATGCACTGAAGCAAACCATGCCCTTAGGCAAATGTGCTTTGTCCATCTATAATTAGTTGCTATTTTACCTTTTCAGCTGGTTGTTTTCTATCTTTAGCAGTAGTCAAAGACTTGAAAGAGTTATTCTGTCATCTTTTTTCTTGCAGTAGTGCATCGCAAACTTCAAGATGAACCCGCAGAATAATCAAGGCTCTAGCTCTTCAACACCAGTAGACCCACCTCTGAAGCGCAGGCGTGGTCGCCCACGCAAAGACGAGGCCCAGCCCCAGGCAGAAACCATGTCATCTCTGCCTAGGGGGTTCGACCATACAAGAATAAACAACCCGCCTTTCGGTCTGAGCAACCCTAGTGGTAATAGCGGGCTGGTGGCTGATCAGGCACCAGCAGGCATCAACATGATCGGCCAACCATTTTCCGGCATCATTGATGCCCAATTTGATGGCGGGTATCTTCTCAAAGTCAAAATAGGTGACAATGACACTTACTTGAGAGGAGTTGCATTTATCCCGGACCGAGTCGTTCCTGTCACTGCCTCTAACGACTTGGCGCCACAGGCAAGAATGTACACAAGGACTGAGGTCCAAATCCCGCCTCCGCCACCAGCTCCACTCCAGCCTCAAGTCCAGGGCTCTATTCCATCGTCGTCAGACCGAAGTGTAAAGCAATCTGCTTATCCATCCAAGGCTGGTGTTCAGCAACTCGGTTCAGTTACGCTACCTCTCACTGATAAATTCCTAGCAGCAAGTAATGTGGGACCTTCTGCAGGAGGGAAAATGATATCACAGCAAGTTTCAGATTCTGGAGCTGCTTCCATTTCAATACAGTCAGTAAGTGGCATGGTTTCCAAACAGGATGAGTTACTGCGAGAGTTTGATGCCTCGACAAGGAAGGTTACCGATGAAAAAAGACCAGGTGGTCCCCCTGCAGCAGCTACCACCTTTGGTGTTTTGCCAGCCAGTGGAACTGTCAATCTCGAGCTTCAAATACAGCACCAAGCCGATGGGCTTAAAGCCAGTCAGTCAGCACCTTCCTCAGCCACGGATGGAGGGAAAATCGCAAACCTGGAGCTCACCCAGCCTTCTCCTGTGATCAGCGAACCGGGAAGGGGTATCGTCTCTTCTCAATCCATGAGCATGTGCTTGGGCAACCCAACTTCTCCAGGGAAAGCTGCACCACCAGAGTTCCCTTCTGCTGGCACGAAGGTTACTATCACTGACACTCCATCCCTCCACCTAAATGGTGGTGGCATTACTCAAATCCCCAAAGTAGATGCTATGGCCAAGCCAGATTCTGAGGGATCCTCTGCTGCTGTTCAGAAAATACTGGAACCCCAGTTCGTCTGTTCATCTGGTGCTCAGATAGAGCTGTTCGACAAAGAGACTGCTGTTGCTGCCCCGACTGCACCGAAGCTTGGAAATGATGGTAGCGTTCTTCCTAGAGTGAGTGAGCATGAGTTCTGCAGTGCTACCCCCAGTGCAAGTGTCGACTGCAACAACATCAAAGATGCTGCTATTCCGCCAACCGAATCTTGAGATAGAAGGGTCATGAAATGAGTTTGTGGAGCTTAGGATAAGGGGAACTATGAATAAGTAAAGCTCAATGCTTTCATACATGCTGTAGTTTAGGCTTACCATTAGAAATCTGAAAAACCTCAGCTTAGTTTTTTTCTTTTGTGAAACCTCAGCTTAGTAATTGTGTCAAAATTGTCAGATGTTTCTTTGCCTTCTTAACCAAGGTTTTCATATATGCGAGTAGAGTTTTACATTTCCATTCAAATCTCAATTTTCTAGTCCAAACCGTCGGTCAGTCTCTTCGCTTTGCCCTATTTCCAAAGTGTGATTGGGGTTGAAATCGAAGGATACAGATGATTTGTTAACTGGAACAAGAACCCTAAGAAGATCCATCTGGCATACTACGAAGATCTCCGCATCGAGCAGACAAGAAACAGCATTCCATTCCATCCCATACATTAGAACTCATAGAAAACAAAATGATAGATATAGATCAAACATAACTGAGTGCTAGTTTCATAAAGATATCAGCAAATAAGTTTTTATCACAAAGGCCCCAGAATTTTGGTTCCTCCCTCACAAAGAGCTGCTGCTAGGGCATATAGAGGCACTGCCCCAGAGTCGCATTAGTTCACATAGGCTTTCACTACATCGCAAGTCGCAAAAATGGCCAAGACCTTTCAGGTCCTATGGCTATAACCCACTTGCTGCTGCTGTTGGTAATTGGCATAGCCTGGGTATCCTCCTCCATAGTACATGCTTGGGTCCTGGGGGGGTGGAGGTTGCGCGTAACCGTAGTTCTCATAACCCTGTGCATAGCCGTAATATCCAGCAGCTTGGTCGGCAGCACCACCACCATTCCACTGATTGCTGGCCTCAGACTGCTGCAGGAAAAGAAAACGCACCAATGACATTAGTTCATGTGTGAAACAAATCGAAACTAGGACAAAGAAAAAAAGATTTTGTGTGTGTTGGGGTGGATCACACTTTGCACACAATGCTCGGGAAGCGCACGCAAGACAATAGCTGCGGAAGTAACAGACGAAACAAAATGGTACAATATGAAGTTCAATACAAACAAATCACACGAAACGGCCTTAGGGGATTCAACATATTGTGGTCAGCTGATATGATTTTCGGTTAACTGGAGTCCAACATTTCAACTTGAAATCAATACCAATTCCATATTTGGTTAACCAAAATTACAGATTTTGGTTGACTTTGATTTGACCATGAACCATTCCCTCCAATCTAAGCAAAACGATAACCTGTTTGTTGGAAGCAAGTAGCAAAAGATTACCTGTTTGTTGGAAGAATTGCGGCCCCATGAAAGTCGAATACTTTGTCCACTCAGTTCAGCCCCATTTAACCTATTTAAGGCTTCCTCTGCACAACTCCTAATGCAATGAAAAAGGGAGTTTCAGTAACAGGACAACAGTTCCATCGAGACGGTTAAGAAGAGCAACGCAGACCTATTGGCATACTGAACAAATCCACATCTTTTGCCTGCTGGTATCTTTACATGCACCAATTGGCCATATTGGCCGAACAGTTCTCTCAAATGGTCATCCGTGACATTGGAGTCCAAATTGCCAACAAAAATCTGTTGCGAGATTTCCATTAGATACAAACTGGTAAAGTAATTAACTCTAACACTCGATAAGAATGAAACACCTACAGTTGTATTATTCGGGTCATTCTCGCTATCCCTTTGGGTGGAATTCTGAAATGAAGCTGCAAATAGAAAGCAAAGCGTATTCGAGAATAAAAAGAATGTAAATCATTTGACTTGTCCAGGTCACAAGCGAGTCCCACTGTATGTTATTCAATGCAAAATCCTTTCTAAGACCACATGGCAATCTCAACCCCCGAATAACTACTTGAAAAATGTTCATCCAAGGTCAAGAAAGACAAACTACACAATAAAGATGGCATCATGATGTACAAGGAACAATCAATTAAATGAACTAAATAGACTGATGGAATGAAAAATTAAATGGACATATAGATGGCACTACTAGTGAAACCAGCAGTTGCACACAAAATCCCCTTGGACGCTTGAGGCATTTCTAGGTGAACTCACCTGGCCTAATGAATGCCAAGCATCCAATAGCTAGAGATTTGTAACTGTGCATTAGGCTTGCTCAGGCACCCTCTTAACACACTGCTTAGGACCGGCCTAAGTGAGTCCACATATTAGAGTGAGGGTAACTGATACAGCAGAAATCAATTCCTGGCCCCAACAATAATAGAACCTCTCAGCCCCCCCTGGTTTTGGAGAACAGGTCCTCTATGAGTAATGCAAGTTTCCGTATCTCAAAAAAATGTATTCTTCCGGAATATGAAGCGGAATTACAGGACTTGAAAAGCTGAACCCGTCTCCAAAACCATGATAGACTGTGAAGCCTAAAGGTGGACTGAAAATATCCCTAGACTAACATTCATCACTCGTAATTGGAGACCAGATAAACAAATAATAAAGATAACAAGCTATACAAAGGAAGTATCAACTGCAACCCCACATCAAAGAGCTGAGAGGCATACCTCGTGGAGCCATGGTCTTCTTGTTAGATGCTACCCCAACCCGCATAGGCCTTGTGGAGCAGAACACTCCATTCATCTCAGTCATTGCACGCATTTGTTCACCTTCATCAGTAAACCGAACAAATCCGTAACCCTTAGTCCGCATAGTTGTTCGGTCAATCACAACTTTAGCACCCTTCACAGACGGATAGCGGGCGCTGAAAGTTTCCTGGAGCATGTAATCAGTAACATCGGCTGCCAAGTCCCCGACAAATATGGTGTACTCTGGACCATCGTCGCGCTTCTCGCCAGTACCATACGATGCCCAATTCAGCCTGAAGTTCTGCTCACCGTTCGGCATAGGTGTGCCGTTGTAGGTCTGCAGTATCCTCTCGGCGGCAGCATGGCTGATGAGCTCCATAAACCCGTACCCTTCCGCCTGATTGGTCTGCTTATTGCGTATCACTTTCACTGAAGCAACCTAAAGTCAACACACACAAAAACACGATTCCTTCAATCACAGATTTATCAACAACAATAAGAGGATACCAATATATTCCTACAAACAAAGGAGAAAGCAGTCGCCATCGAGATCCAAAACAAGCACAGGAAAATCAACAGAAAACAGATCTTCAGTTCCCAGTATCCTCCCACGCTATGCTTTACCTCGCCAGTGTGAGAGAAGCAGGAGTGCAGATAGTTCTCGTCCATCCAGTACTGCAAGTCGCCGATCCACAAAGTTCGAACCTCGTCACTACCGCCGCCGCCGCCGCCCTGCGGGACCTGTTGCTGCTGAGGCGGCTGAGCCTGCTGGCCGTTCCACATAGCTGCCGGCGGAGGCTGCGATGGCGGCGCCTGAGGCATCATCATCATGTACGGCGGCTGCTGCTGGTACTGCTGCGGTGGCATCGCTTGCTGAGGGGGGATTCCGCCGGCTCCCTGCTGTGGCATCATCGTGAAATTAGGAGGAAGAGGGGGATTTTTTGCGGCGGAGGATTGAGGTAGAGGAGTGCGGGAGGGAGGGAGCGGAAGAAGAACCCTAACCCTAAAACGCCACAGAGAGAATCTTAGCGAAGCACCGCTGTAGAGAGAGAATGGGAGTCGCACCCGCCACAGGCTTTCTCGGAGATATACTGTCTGTCTGTTGGAGAATAGGAAAGCGCGGAGTAATTAATTAATAATAAAAGCTGGCGCCGTAGTGGCTGGCCGGGATCCAAAATTAGGATCCAATTTAAGATTTCCTTGATCGGGCCAAAGATAGCGGCCCAGCTTCCCGACGACACTTGAAAGCCCATGATTAGCTGAGAGTTGAGACCATTTTCCTAATGATTTTGGGAACGGTAGATGCTCTAATAATGAACATGACTACATGAGAAGAAATCTTCTCAATAGCATAATGAAAATGTAGGACAACTATTTAACAAGATAAGATAAAAAGAGACATATACGATTCAAGTAAGTGTTTAAGTATCCCAACTTTAACAAGAAGGCTGATGGAAAAAAACTCAAATGAGATATTAAGAATTCAGAAAAAGAGACGATAGCATATATTCATATTAGGAGAGATAGAAAAATGTTGAATAACAACTAATTAGCAAATGTGAAGAAGATAGAAACTCATGCTAGGAAAAATGAAGCGGAGAATTTAGTGGGTGTTTTTCGCTTTCAATCATGTTAAAACTAGTTTAGCACTATACAACTAATTAGCAAAAATAACCAAACATCGATTTGATTTATCACATTCTAACTTCTAAAAGTTAGAGACTCGCGATAGGCAAAATGAAGAGGAGAAATTGGTGATAGTTTTTCACCTTCAGTCACAAAACTAGTTTAGAACCATACAACTAATAGCAAAAAGAACCAGACATCAATTTGATGTATCACATTCTACTTGGTAAGGATTAGATGTTCCAACACACTCAACTCCTAAATCCTTTTTTTTTTACCTAGAGGATTGTTATACAGGATTACATCAAACACATGATTTGATTACTCGATATTTCTCACGTCATTGTTAATCAAGTGAAACGATATCGTTTCACACATCAAACACAATAGACCTAAACCTACTACATTTTTTACAACACTGTCAACACCGATCATGTACGCCACAAATTTGCTCACTACTTCCCTCTAACGAGCTTGAGGAGCTCAGAGGCCTCTCTTAACCTCCTCCTCTCCACGTCTCTCCTGGTCTCTACTCCACCTCGTGGGTTCCTGCACATAACACTCGTTCCCGGTTAGTTCAATCTTCTCTTACACCAATTAGATCAATCTATACTGCTATTGCTGTTCAAACAAAAAAGAACTGGTGCCTTGTTGTTTTACCTTCTTTCAGCTGGCGCCTTCTTTCTTCTCAGTTCTTCTACCAGACTGTCCAACCTTTTCAGGAGCGCAGGAGAACTTCGAATCACCTCCATGCCCTTCTCATTCCTGCACAGCTTCCTCAGAAGCTCCGACGCTGTGAAATATCCTTCCTCCTTGTTCCTTCAACATGGAAGAAAAAACAATATGAACTAAGAATGACAACCGAATCTAAGAGGTGGATATTCTCTAATGAACCAAAGTCTTCATTAAGTTATGGCACAATACTTATCCATCTCCATTCTCTAAAGCCAAAGTTGAAATTTTTAAATAGGATCATATTCATACATAGTACCCGATCAATGCAGCTGGGAATTCCTAGTTGGGTGAACATAGAGTGTTCAAGTACTATCAGCTAAGAGTTCGTAATCTTGGGGGTTACCTGAAAAACTCCATAAAGATCGTCTCTACTGATCCACTGCAGTCGATCAGCGTCTCGACCAAGTGTGGATACCGAGCGAGGTTTCTGAGGGTGGACAGTGCATGCTTTAGCACCTCTTGATCAGGTATGCTCCGGCTCACAGACCGCATCAGCTTCAGTAGCATGGCGATGGCGCCAGCACCAATGAGCTCCTCGCAACATCTCAGCGAGTGTTGTGTTGTCCTATCTGTCAACGAAAGTAGTCCCAAAGGTAATTAACTCACAGGCATATATTGAAACAATACTCATAAGTGCTTGGGTTTAGATTGGGGGGGAGCAAACTTGTTACCCAAGGTTTGACAAATTTGGAGGATGTTGCTCATGCTCTTCATACTAAGTAGTTCTGAAACTGCGACTTTGAGCTTGTTGATGATTCGCATACTGTCATCCACATTGCTAGCTGATTTCTGAATTCGCAGGCGTAAGTCATGTAGCTGCCCTTTTGATTCTTTCCTTGCAAGGTAGCCTCTCCAATGTGACTGTAAATGTGAAAAGAGTATGTCAAGAACAACTTGTTCTTCAAAGAGGTATGTCAAAAACTCAAAATTTAGAATTTTGGAAGTACGCTTTCGAATTTGGCATAATGAATATGCTTTTTCACAAGTATATTCATGGCTGATAAGCATATTCATTATGTTAAATAGGTTCAGATCCATCCACTAGAGTGTTATCATAGGATTACAGATAGGGGTTCCACATGTACAAAATGATTCATAAAAGTTGTCCGACTTTCAAATGTCAGCATGCCTAGATTCCACATGCTTGTTCAGAACAAGTGTTTTCATGCCTAGTTTAGAGTACATGTAAACGTTTGCTTAGCTGGGTAATATGCAGAAAAACAATAGTATATAATACCAATGATCACCAGGACACAATTAAGCACGTCTGCAAGATCCCATTAGTATTCCAATTTCCAACAGCGATGGGTGTCCTTTTTCATTAAGATTGCATGTTCTCTAGCAGAAAAAGGTAGTCAAAACTTAAGATCTGAAAGACTTACTTGAATCATAATGACTTGGTGCCTTTCTGTATTGATCCTTTGCTTGGATATCCAAACTCGGACATGAGACTGTATAGTCATCGCGGCCTTTGTCCTACGTTTATGCAGTGAAACACTCTTCCACCACCTTTGGAGCTTGAACACCGAAGACAAAACAACTTGCAACTGGAAACTCCCTAAGCAGTCTTCTGACAGAATGGTAGCAGCACAGAAACTAGATGCACCTGTAACAAAAGGCCATGCAAGATACAAGCTCGGTTTCCTAATGATAGATCATAAACTGTAGATGCTGAGAATTCACTGTTAGTTTAAGCAAAATACCCAAAAGCCTCTTGCGAGTAATATGTCCCCTGACAAAACGTTGTATCTCTACGGCGGCAACTTTGTGAGCACGAAAGGTCTTCCAGCAGTTTAGACAACGAACAGCACTCTGAATTTTTGTCACAGCATGTTTTTGGCATAAGAACCTCCTTCTAGTCAGCCAACCACGGCAATGTCTCTGGATTCAATTGAGCAAAGCATAGACTTAGCATAGGAAAAACAGGAATCCTTGTCTACTGCCATCCTATTTCTCATATCACTGGTATACAAAGTCATCGAAATTGTAAAGGTCTTGGCTTTTTCCACAAGCACTCGCTCATTGTATGCACATTTAATCCAGGTCAACCATGACTAACTGTACAGGAGAAAGAACTTACTTGAAGGACACGTAACAGGTCTATTAGCCTCTCAGCTCCTCTACGAGCAATCCAAGCACGTACACAAGATTGAATCCTAATGGCCGATCGGATCATTCTGTCTTGCTCTCTCAAACATCTTAAGCGTCGATAATAACTTTGAATTCTTGTTGTTGCTCGCCTGAGGTTTAGAAATGCCTTCCTCGAAAACCAACCCCGAAAATTGCTTTGTATTGTAGTAGCAGCAAGTTGCTATATGGAAAGAAAACAACTTTAGATATAAATCAATTCTATTAAGCTCGAGAAAAGGTGCAAGCACTTTCTGTAAATAGCTTGCATGACTATGAAGCACAGGCAATACCAGTGCTTTCTCTTTCCGAGCAACCTTGTACCTACTCCTTGTTATCAAACTACGAGTATGTTTCTGAATGACAATTGCAGCACTGATTCGAGCACACATGGAAATAGCTTCTCTTCTGGCATTTAAAGCTCGAATATACTTCTGGCGCTCTCTGAACTTCCTAAACTCTGACTGAATGATGATTACCGCATTGTTCTGTTTAGCTGCATTTTCGGAAACGGGTTGGGAAAATTCTGAAAGCTATCAATGAAGGGATTTAAGATTTGGACATTCAAACACACTATAATGTAGAGCAATGAGGTAATAAAACGGCCATAAGTAAATACCTCTTTCAATTTCCTTCCTCGCTAACCAACCCCGAAAATTGCTTTGTACTTTAGTAGCAGCAAGTTGCTAAATGGAAAGAAAACAACTTCAGATATTAATCAATTCTATTAAGCTGAAGAAATGGAGCAACTGCTTTGTGTAAGGGCTTGCATAACTATGAAGCAGAAGGAATACCAGTGCTCTCTCTTTCCGACAAACCTTGTATCTACTCCTTGTTATCCAACTACGAGTATGTTTCTGAATGACAATTGCAGCACTGATTTGAGCACGCATGGAAATAGCATTTCTTCTAGCATTTAAAACTCGAATATACTTCTGGTGCTCTCTGAACTTCCTGAATTCTGACTGAATGACAATTGCCGCATTGTTCTGTCTACCTGCAATTTCAGAATCAGGTTGGGAAAATTCTGAAAGCTATCAGTGAAGGAATTTAAAGGTCTGACCTTCAAACATACTATAATGTAAAGATTGAAGTGACAAAAGGGCCATAAGTAATACCTCTTTCACTTTCCACCTTACTTGTCTCACTTGGGCAGATTTGTGAAATCAATGGAGGTTCACCCAATTTGCTATTCAGTTCTGCCATATCTTGCCACCATGCCCTAATGGCCTTAAACTTACTAGCAGCATCTGCACAAACTTCAATGTGATGGCCAAGTCTTTGCTCCTCATTCAGCTCAGCTTGTGAAGTCATGAACGACTTCTCGACCCTTGAATGTCTTCTCACCAGACTTTGACAATTGCAACCCAGTAGCTTATGAAAATTCAGTTGATCCTAGTAAATTGTAAGTCATTATTAAAACACTGATTATGTCAACTCTACAGAAACCATCTCTAGTAGATAAATCATCTGGCAATACCACGGCTTTCTTCGCTGCCAGCTGAGAGGAGAGGAACACAAGTAGAATCATCACACTTTTATCATTAATTGCACCGTTGTGTTCAAGTAGCTCACTAGTTTGCAACACCTGTAGATGCAGCATATAATTATGTAATAAAAAAACCATGACTAAATCCTTTTCCTTCAAGTGACACTATCAGTGAATATCGAACTTAAACAGACTATGGGCATCATTATTGTGTTCTCACTCAACATCCTTGGCTTGATACCAAAATTCAGAGGATGTCAATACATTTCATGTCCATTCTGGTTGCAGACAGAAGTGGCAGCATGAGGAAATTAAAATACATATTCAATAGACAATAATGTAGATTCATCTATCTTACCTCAGGAAAACTGCCCAACAATGTGGCTAGCTTCTGTGATAGCATTAAGTTCTGGACTGTGTCAGTGTAATCACTAGCGGACATAATCGACTCTTCACCTCTAATTTTGAAAGGGTCCTGCAGAATATTACAAAGAAAGATGAGAAACCATCCCGCGCATAGATGTAACTAATAGAGAAGCTGTAGTGAAAACAGCACCTTGGGTGACTGAGAACAAGAAAGTTCCTTGCGAAAGTAATAGTCAAGCAAACACCATATGGCTTTTCCATCAACTAGTGAAGAGATATTCTCAATCTTATGATCATAGTTAACACAGACTGCCTGTAAATAGTTGGTAAATTGTCAAAACTTAAAGCGGGTAACAGAAAAGTTGAAGAGTGAGATCAAGAAGTTAAAACATGACATCACAATTTCAAAAGTGAAGCCATACTTGTATCCAATCCAGAAGCAGTTGCAGAGAGGAACCGGAAATTATGCTGCTGGAGAGTTCCTGTAAAAGTGCAACCAACATTATGGCCATCTTAGGCTAACTGGAATTTGAATCTCAATATTGTAACTTAAAAGATACACTTATAGTGACTGGAACATCTAACTAAATCCACTGTCCTTGCCAATCACATGAACTTGCATTTTCAACCAACTGGATGGATTTAGTGAAGCTAATAGTATAAATATACCATATCCGTGCCACGAATTCCATGGATTTCTTGTAGCAAGATTGTTTTGTTGATCAAAAGGGGCAGCTGCAGGATTAGAGAAATGCAAGATGTTAATCTGGCACAACAACCAATACTACTCACAAGGATGCTTCCATTCCAGCTGTCTTACTTTAAATAGAAGGGAACCATTTTGGCCTACCTGTAACTGAATAAACATGTTCCAGAGCAATGAAATTGTCAGTTCCTTATCTCCACTAGCAATGTCATCTTCAGTGATTTCCATTCCATCTTCATCATACAAATTCACACCAGCATGCTTCAACCACTTGAGGCCAATGCCACAATTCGTTACTCTTTTCTTCCTTGAATCCGAAGAAATTGCCATTTTCTGGAACTCAACAAGAAGGGTTTCAATCATGTGAGCAATTGTGGGTAAAAAATTAGCTCATTTAATTTGTAACTTTAAAGAAACGTGAAACTAGACCAACCAAGAGAATAGAGGAGTCATTTTGCAGAAGCTGAATGGCTCTACAGAGCCGCACTCCATCTTGGAAGTCTGCAAACAAATCTGTAACTCTGAACTCGTACTCGACTAATGGAGACTGCAGATACAAAATTTCGTTTAGTTAGTAAGAAACAAATACAGACAATGTGACAAGCATAAGTAGGTATCTTGCCAATATGTTAACTATATGTACCTGCTGATACGAGACTCTGTAGCCTATTATCACTAAATGGGCAAGCAAGTTGCCTTCTCCGTGCATCACCTCTGGTGACAAGAAATCTAGATTCATATGAAAAGATAGAGAAGTCAGCCTACACAGATTGAAGTAAGGTTACATAATTTTTCGAAAAGGTGAGAGTTGAAGTACTACACAATGCTTACCATTTATTACTTGGGAACTAGACTTGCTATTAGATTGAACATTGAAGAGGAGAGGAGAACCCCCATCAACCCCATCAATACCATAGGCTAAAGGAAGAGCAGTCTGGGACTTGGCTCTATCAAGCGTAAGAACAAGAAGCAAGAACCTTTTCAATATGATGTTCCCTAAACTTTCATAGTAACCAGGTCTATATAACCCATCAACCATTTTGTTGTAAGCATATGCTTTCGCCAATCCAGCGTGGGAGAAAAATTGCTTCTCTATCACTGACTTCAGGAAGGCAAGTTCCTGCTCAGATTTAACATCTCCACTAGGCAACAAGGTATCACCTCCAAAGATTATGTGCAGCCCAATTCGCAGCCAAATCGGATTGTAACACATGAGTATTCTTGTAGCCTTCTCTTTCATTCCAAAGTCGGTAACAATAGGGCAATGGGACTTCATTTTTAACCTCCCATTATCAATGTTCTGAGAATTATCACAGGCCCAAACAAACGAACAAAAAAGCAAAGAAAGCAAACAATCAAGCTCCATTGCATTATCCAGGTAGCTATGACTAAATGATGGGGAAAAAGAGAGTTCAAGTAAGGTAGCAGACCTTAACAACCCGAGTCATCACATTGAAAATCTCTTGGCAGCTGCTCAAGCTCAAGTAAACCCGCATCCTCTGCTGCATATCATCCAAACTGCAAATCCCTTCCATTGAACTCGTCAACTTCGAATACTCCTTGCTAACCGATACCGCCTCTAGCTCACCTCCGCCATCCCAAACCGAATCCCTCTGCCTCTTCGGACACCTCCACGTGGCGGCGTCCACTTCAACCCTCCCGCCGACATTTCCAGGCCTACACCGACCTTCCCTCTTCCCGAGACCTACTACAGCCCCTTCACCCAACCCTCTACCGGCGTCCAGATCCGGATCGCTGCCGCAGCCGCAGGCCGCAGGGTTCTCAAACAGGAAATTGAGCCAAGTAGTAAGCGACTTAGCTAGCGACTTCAATGACTGCTCCTTCTTGACCTGAGTCTTGCGCGAGGACTGCGACTGCTCGAGCTCGAACGCCTTGATTCGACGCGCGGTGGCCGTCTTCCGCTTCGAATTCGCCACCGTCGTCGCGCCGGACATCGACGGCCGGTGTTGCCGGCGGATGGAAGAGGCGTACGTCCTGGGATTCCGCTCCGCGGCGGCGGTGAAGTATCGAGAAGCGCTATCGCAAGGAGTGGCGAATAGGTCCTTCTTCGCCGGTGCTAGGCTTCTCGGAGTTCTCAAATTGGAGACGTCCCGTAGGAGAGAACTCTCCAATTTGTGCGACGCCGGCGGGGAAGAACATACTTGCTCGTTGAGCTCCATTTGTGTTACTGGGAGGAAGGACCGAGATCACTGAGTCGGGTTCGCCGGATATCCGAGTTTGAAGATGAGATAGAGAGAGAATGAATTGTCAGAAAAGAGGCGTTACATTCGAATTTTGAAATGCCACGAAAAGCGCGGTGATTAAATCTGAGAAGAAGAAGAACACTCTTTACCCGCTGCCTGGCGAAGAAATTTGGGCCCATAATGGAATAAATGGTTATGGGCCTTGCTGCATTCTATTTATTGGGCTTGCTAACAAGATGATGGGGCTTACGGCCTTACGTATCGAAACGCGCGTCGATTTACCGGGTTGAATTTTTATTCAACATACCGGGAAATAAGATTGGTTCGTATTAAGCACGCGCGGTGTGATTCGTAGAAGCAAGTCACGCGGACCAAAAAACCATAAATAGAATATTGGGATTTGGGAAGGAAATTTTATCCTTTTCACCAATTTTTATAAGGAAGAACAAAAAAAAGTGAGCTGTCGCACAATCGAGCTCTCCTTCTTCAGCCATTTCTCTTCTTTCCGTCTTCTTCTGGTTTTTTCGTCTCACACACCTCCCGCTTGGGTGTTCCGAAGGTTTCCGATCTCTCGAATCCGCCGCTGCAACTATCAGGAGTCAAGAAATTCCGTGGAAGGTTGGCCGTTGATCCTTCCGCCGCGTCTGGAACCAGATTTTTCCTTCATCGAGAGGCTATCTTGGAAGGAAGAGGAAGCAAGTTTGCAAAGAATCAAAAAACAATGGCGCAGGCAGTTGAGGAATGGTACAAGCAGATGCCAGTCATCACGCGGTCGTATCTCACGGCCGCCATCGTCACCACCATCGGCTGTTCGCTCGATGTACCCTTCTTCTCCCTCTTTCTTGCCTTTTCTTTCTTCTTAAAGTTCGATTCTTTTCATTTTTTATGTCACCTTCCTTTAAATCGATTCGTTTGTGTAGGGAATATGGTTAATCGGAGTCTTTGAGTTTTCTAGGTCTGTGAATTTAAGCTTATGGAGCGGTCCGTTTTAGTGGGATTCTCATATTGTAATTGTTGAGAGGTTAATTGCATTGTGCTTGGCAGTATATGGAGAACTTTAATGGCGGGAATTTGCTTGGAACTGGAAGTTAGTTAATGTTCTCATTGTTTTGCTGTTCACAGATAATAGCTCCTTCTCATCTGTACTTGAACCCGAGGCTGGTGGTTCAGAAGTATGAGTTTTGGCGCCTCATCACCAACTTTCTATACTTTCGGAAAATGGGTAAAGATTGAGCGATCTTTCATAGTTTAGATGCTTCATTCTTGATTACATTTTCTTTGTGATTAAGGGTTCCGGTTTTGGCTTTCCATAGGACTCTTATCCAGTCAGAGGCCTAAAGGTTCTCCAATTCTAGATTGACAGTGCCCCTAGGATACATGATTTTGTGTTAGCTACATTGTTTTTGAAGGGAATATGTTCAATCATTTCAAGGCCCTATTACAAGTATGTAGATTCGTGTGTTGTGGTCTGAATGTGGTACTCTTAAGAAAACTACTTAGCATAGTAACTAAAAGGCTTTTTTTTAATCTTCTGGACTTTGAGCAATGAATACAGTATGGATGCTTTGGCTTAGCTCTTCTTCCTCTTTGATATTTCAAGTGTGGTATCATTCTGAAGATGATTTTGTTCATATCAGACTTGGACTTCATGTTCCACATGTTCTTCCTTGCACGGTACTGCAAGCTTCTTGAGGAGAATTCATTCAGAGGGAGAACAGCAGATTTCTTTTACATGCTTCTATTTGGTGCCTCTGTCTTGACTGGCATTGTTCTTGTTGGTGGGATGATACCTTACCTCTCAGAATCATTCGCCAAAATTGTGTTCCTCAGCAATTCATTGACATTCATGATGGTTAGTTAATCTCTTTATTGTTACTACTTCTTTTTTTGTCTCCTTAGGCAGCTGTTGATTATTTCTTATGTAGGTATATGTCTGGAGCAAGCAAAACCCTTTCATCCATATGAGCTTCTTGGGCCTTTTCACCTTCACAGCAGCTTACTTGCCATGGGTTAGTACTCAACTACTGCTTTTATATGGCTTTGATCATACCACTAGTCTGTTGAAATCTACTTCATGAGTTATTCATGTTTTTCTACTTAATTCTACAGGTTCTGCTAGGATTTTCTGTCCTTGTTGGAGCTAGTGCATGGGTCGATCTGTTGGTGAGTAGTATTGCTGCAGTTGAATCTTACGTCCATTTAGCTCTACAAACGTAGTTACAAATCACTTGTTGAACCATTTAACTGAGTGAAGTCTAGGCAGAAAGGAAGTCTAATGGATTGTGTTGATACATTTGTTTTATCAAAAGTTAAAGGAAAAGTATACCAAGCGAAACACATAGCTCTTATTTTGTTTGTTGCAAATGCAATGACGTAACTCCCTAAACTTATTTGGAGGTCTTAGTTGATGAATCCTAGCACTTGCTTAGTCTTCATCTCTGGCTGCCTGTTTTCAGCAGTTTCTTAATCGTCTCTTTCATTGTGGCCTGATTTCAGGGGATGATAGCTGGACATGCATACTACTTTCTTGAGGATGTATACCCCAGGATGACTGGCCGCCGCCCACTGAGAACCCCATCGTTCATCAAGGCACTGTTCGCAGATGATCCTGTCGTGGTGGCGCGGCCAGCCAACGTAAGATTTGCCCAGCCCCCTGCTCCCGAGCTTCACCAAGATTGAGTGATGAGAAACTACAATCACCAAGCAAAATGCAGCTCCCCGGTCATCTCATCCGTCCCTGCATATACAGTGCAACAACAACCCTTTTAGTGTTTCAGCTATCTTGAGAAACCCCAATTAAGTCTTCACAGTGTATATAGTACTGATATGAGTCGATCGCTCGCAATATCTAACAATGACAGACTTTTCTCCATGTCCATGCCCTCGTTAGTTTGCAGCAGGGGTTGACGTTTAGTCTTTAACCATGTTGAGAAGTCATTTCATTGATAGCTTGATCAGAGAAATTGTCAGCCTCTGTTATATAGCTTTCACTTATGTTAAGACGCCTACGTGCAAAAATTAAATCAGCTTGCAAGGATCTTCATGTTGTTTTTGTATTTGCATTATGTCAAACGTTATTGATGGCAATTCAGAATTCTGGAATGCATGGATCTTAACTTTTGCCACTTTGTGTACTTTGGAGACGTGATTTAACTTTGGTCATGGCACGATATTGATTTTACGAACACAATTTTCTTTCGAACAACTGAACAAATTACAAAACCACAATGTCCAAGAATAAACACCAAGGAAACGAGCAAGTAATCAACGATTTGGCAATTGTAGCTTCTATTTCTCCCGTTTGGATCTCAATGCAAGAATGTGAGGCCAATTTATTAAACACATCCATGGATTCACCAATTAACGAACCTGAACACGATCCGAACTCGACAAACCAAACCGCCATCCAGGACATGTTCAAAGTCCACCACGCACTCAGAAACTAACACAAAACAAAAGCCCTAATACCAGGAACCTACTAAATACTTTTTCTTCTACAGAATTCTGTTTCCACTGCATACAGAGTCCTTGGCAGAAACAAAGAAAAGGGCAACAAAAAGAAATAGAAAAGGGGGGGAGAAAAAAAGAAAAGGAAGCTTCTTCCCTTCAACAACCCAAACGCCGGCAGTGTGGACAAACGCTTACAAACATTCACCGCCGCCATTATGGGCCTATTCCTACAGTAACAAGGAAATCTGGGTTGCTTCTTAAGAACTGCTACTGCTGCACCACTTGCCTTTGACCCGACATCACTTCCAAAAGATGAAAAGGGGCTTTGAATGAAGGCTGTGTGGGAGATTCAACATACGGAAAACCATGGAAAAAGCGACTAGCGTATCGGATGATACTGCGCTGACACTCTCTTCGGAGGCAGCTTTCGGAGGATGAAAAGTACCAGAGCTGATGGCAGAATCTCAACCAACTGGGAGTTTTGCAAGGAGCAAACAAATGTTGGGATTTTAGCAAAGATGTGGATTCAAATAATAAACTAAGAAGAATTGACGAGAAGTAAAAGACGGATGGGTACCGTGTAGTAGATCAAGTTCAAGACGGGATGATCCAGAACATACAAGGAAGCGTCTGCGTCGAAAGCAGATAGAAGGACCTACCAAGAAGACCAACCAAGAAGTGGATTTTGTACATGAGTAGAAATTCAACAGCCAAACAATGTTGTAAGAATATTATGTACTGTAATTAAGGCAAGGAACACTCTCTATGCACGAAATAAGGAAATCAACAGTTTTTTTTATGTATGGGCAAGACAGGGATCATAATAGCACTGAAGTCAGATGGAAGTTGATATTTTACCACAAAGCATCTGATAAGGAAGCAAGTGAAGCAAATCGCTGTGACTGATCCAACCTGCAAGCCAGCAAATATGAATGTAACTATTTCTCTAAGCCGAACGAAAGAAAGAGAATAGTGAAGAAACGAAATTCTAATATATACGGCAAAATGAAGACAATATAAAAGGGCAGCCTTTCTGGGCTATATGAATCTCAAGGTCTGAAGTCGGCCACAGGGAATTTGCAATGCCAAGTCCATGATCTTAATGTTAAAATGAGAGGTCTATGAAGTAAAGTAAACAGCACCAGACCTCGTGAAGCTTCTTCCTTCTCCCTTTCGATTCAATTGGGAAGCGCCTGAGCATGAAGAAGAGTCTGAAACAAAAAACAGATAAAGGTCACGACTTATGGTGAAAGGAATAAATGAAGAAACTCGTACAGAGTTCTCTAGCCACAACAGTAGCTCGTCTATTTGCCATGCAGTGGGATAAAATGAGATATTCACCTTCCTCCATACAGCAGAAACCCTAAAGCAGCAATAATCGATACCACTGGAGGATAAAACATTATATAAGTCAGTAACAATGCTAATATAAGGAGCGAAGAACACTTTATCACTTGGCAAACATTTCAACTATGACAGCAGCTGAGGATTTTCTTTCATGAGAATACCTGCAATAAATATCTTCCCAATCAACTCCACGACACTGTTGTCATTAACCCACAGGTAAACCCAGATGACAGCCTGATTCAAAATCACGAGTTCAGAACACCTTCTTTGGAAATATAACAACCAAGAGCCAAAAGTTACAGCAGCAGCATCAGAAGATTGGAGTTATTTGGTCTAGAATGCCAGGCCCAATTTCATTCTCATCCATCACAGTCAAAATCCCAATCCAAAAACCACGGATATGCAACCATAAACATAAGCCATAAAATAGAGCAACGAACAAATGCAACCCAATGACTGAAAAGTTAAAAATACCTGTATACAGTATATTACGGCATTTATGGAAATGTAGAAAACCCTGAGCTTATCTGTTGGCAAACTCCTTGCCTGCAATCAATATATAGTAGTCAGAGTTTCTTCATCTTAATTGGCACTTAGCAGGAAACCAAATGGAAACTAGGAACAAAAGCAACAATCTTTTCTATTACAGATTGAGTTCCAGATACGTACACTGACCTGGTGATATATCTCAGCCCAAAATAGAACAAGCAGGGTGTACGTAGAGAAGAACAGAAGCCCCGGTAGATCCAGTGCTAGCGACGTTAAGACCTATTAAAAGAGTGCATTGGTCAAGTGAATCAGAACTACAACCGCCATCGAACTCGCCACATCTAACTCCCTTGTTCAACTGAGACAAATTCTAGAGCAAACAGGTTGCCATAACAAGCAAAAGGTAATACTATAGCAAGGCATCTTTCAACAGATTACACCAGCAACTAACCTTGGGATGCAAACCGAACACATGCATGTGAAATCCAAACACCAGAGCTCGTACTGATGAACAGCAACAACAAAATCCCCAAATTTATCAATCAATCAAGCCAACGCCCCCAAAAATGAGCAATAAAACATTACAACAGAAGCTCGCACACACAAGTTCACACACTGCTCACCTCCATTAACGATGAAGTTCATAAGGTGGAAGACTTTCTGCGTGGTCCAGCCATACTCCGGCACTCTCAATTCGATCCTAATTAATTGAATCTGCCCGCCGTCGGTACCAAAAAAAAAATTCAATCAGAAACTCAAAGCGTACACGACAAGCAGCAATCCAACTATTGAGGCGGCTACGGCAAACCATAATCGGCAAAAAAATGAACTCAGGAACTTATCCAACTCGATAGGGAACCAGATTAGGAATTTGGCGCGGGAATCATTACAACCAGCGCCAGATTCATCTCCCCCAACGGGACAAGGCGAGGGTTTCAAGTTCCGAGCGATCGAGAACCAAGGCCGATTCGCACAGGAATCTGATGAATCGATAAAGCCATGGGAACTCACCAAGGCAATCAGCGAGACGAGGGCAAAAGCGCCGGAGAGAGTGTAGAAAATCCCGTCCTGCCACTGAGCCGACTCGTTGATCTCGTTCCACCACCCGCCGGCGAGCCCGACGAATTGCATCGCCGGCAGCGGCAGCAGCAGCGGTCTCGTCATTCTTTCTTCCTTCTCGATTCTTCCTAAAGCGGCGAGAAATCTCAAGAATCCCCTTCCCGTTCCCCTTTCCTTTTCCACCGAACAGAAAAATCCCCACCACCACGCCCTGCCAATACCAACCCCACGTATTTCTCAAAGGGGGAAAAACAGAAAAACCAAAAAAGCGGTGAAAAATAGAAACGAAATAAACAGAGTTACGAGATTGACCTTGTAATGATAATTTTATCGACCGCGACACAAAAATGGCTATGGTGAATTTTCCGAAGCTGAAGCTGCAGAGGAAAATGCGACGGAGGAGCAAGCAAAGAACAGACTAGAGAAATAGAGAGAGAGAGAGAAAGCGGCGAACAGATGGATTGGATTGGATCGATTATTGTTTTGATTCCTGAATGAATAATTAATTATTATTTTTTTATTATTATGATTGAGTCCGTCGCCCAGCTCCAGTCCAGCTCTGGTTATTTTGTTGGCAAGTTCCTGGAATGTCGTATTTATTTTATACACTTAAAAATCAGCTTTTGTTACTTTTTTTTTTGTAACTCGATGTTTCTACTTAAATGTTAAAAAGTGCATAACAAAGATTGTTTCTGCACGAAGAAATTGGACATATGTATGCCGAATCACGAATCACAAATCATTTTCAGTTCAAAAATTCTTATTCGATTTGAACGTGTCATATATCATAGTCGTTAGAATTCAAATAATAATGTGTCGATTTATAAATAAAAGTCGTGATCGCTTAACTGTATTTCATCGATTATAACAGTCGATCAAAGACGCCTGCCCTCACAACAACAAAAAAAAATTCTGAATCATAATCTACGAATCATTTCCATTAAAATTTCCTGTGGCGAATTATTGAACTCTTGAAATATTATTGTGAGATTATGATCGGAGTCGGCTACGGATAATTTTTCCAGGACTGATTTCTGACTGGCCGACGTGAGAACCATCAATCACGTGGGCCGACGAGGGATAGGGATAGGGGCAAAGGATCAAAGATGCTTGCTGACGCTGTAAGGACTTTTTCACCGCGTCGCAACTTGAAGGCCGAATTTGGGCTTTTTGTGCAAAAAAAGAAGAAGGGCCGATTTGGGCTTTCCATGGTCGATGGGCTATACAGACTGCCATCTTCTGGCCCAATTTAAAGTACAGAGACAAAATTTTGGTACACGTCTAACTCGAATTAGAAGAACAATGACGTTTCTACGATGAGTAGATAAGAAGATGGGTTGGTGGACATCGATCGATTATTTTGTTCAAAAAAAAAAAAGATCGATTATTAATCGAAAGTGCATAAACGTCCAATTAATCATGCGTATGAAGGGATCGTTTTCATGTAAGTATACTAATTATGCTAAACTTGTAAGAGGTCGGCCGAGTATTTGCCTTTCATTTATAGGAAGTCGGTTGGTTGGATTTGATGATAGTACTAATAATAATTGGACTTACATACATGAAATGCTCATTTGATGAGAGGGACACCAGTCACCACTCCACTCTTATCATATATATGTAATACTTTTTACACCGAAAAGTTATTATCTAAGTATATGTACAGTAACGTGATTGCGCTTGAGAAGTTTATAATCGAACGATAGAGTTTTTACGATCATGATAACTGAAACGAGAGGATTTCTTAATGGTGTTTGTCAAGCGAACTGATGGGGAGCGAAGAAGATTAAGTTTTTCTGTTTGATTATCATGCAATGGTGACCCCTTTCTAAAGAAGGCGGATCTACCGAAATTCATAGATATGTCCATCATTATCCACCAAACTAGGTACTCGATGGACATATTCAATAATGATTGTATGAAACTTATATTAACTCAATGATAGTATGAAACATATATTAACTTAAATTTGATTGACTGTCGAGATTGAGTCACGAGTAATAATAACACGAAGACGATTGCATCCTGAATTTGAAAAAAAAAATCAAAACTAGGCCAATCAAATCCAAGAAAGAATAAAGGTAATAAACAACTCATTTACCCTCTTTAATGGACAGCATGTCGTTTTATACATTACCAAATAGCAACAACAAATTGTATAACATAGTCATCAACTCAATGACAAGAGGAAAAATCACAAGGCCTCTCCTAATCAAATTTCCAGTTCATGCCGATCTTATACCCTCAATGGTGGAAACACAAGACTGTTTCTCTATATATCTATAATATTATAGGATGACACTTTCAACCCGTCTCGTGGGTTATTACCCGACCTAACCCATGATGAAGCGAGTATTATTCAATTTACAATAGACTGGGATGGGACATGAGTATCTACTTTCGACATCTCCTATGCTGCCTCGTCTTGTTCTAGGTTCATTTTATCTCAACTTCTTAAATATTTATTCATATTTCTCTTATTTTGACTTTTTCAACTAGTTAGACTCGATTACTCATTCCATTATCACTGTTTTCATTAATAAAGTATTTTTTTCTTTTTTTTTTTTTGACAAAAGATAATCATATATTGATATCAAGAGAGGTAACCTTACATCCTGGAATTCAGCCAGGCCTGAAAATTATAATAGCGACAAGTAGACGGGTACAAAGTAAGGGCCTTTCTAGCCACCACATGGGCTACCCTATTGTTCCTCCGACCTACAAACCGCACACTAAACCCAGGATTCTGCATCAAACAAGCCCGGACCTCCTCTAAAATCATCCCAATCCTACTATCTCTTGTGTCAGCTCGATTGATTTTCTCGACGATAACCTTGGCATCTCCTTCAAACCTCACCTCCTGAAGACCATTGACTACACACCACAAAATAGCTTCACGTAGGACAAGCGCTTCCACCACCAACGGATCATCAATAGACGCAAATTGAATCCCCTTAGCCCGAAGGATTACACGCTGAGGATCCAAGAGCACCATACCACCCGCAGAGTGGGACTTAGCCCTTGTGGCTCCATCCCACATGCAAACCATCGAAGGGCCCCACTCCAAGTCCGGTGAAGGGGGGACAGAGCGCAGACCCTGCCCCACCCTATCAGAGGACACTCGTTCCCACTCAGCACACTGTTGTTGAATTTGGCGCATCAAGGCAGGGAAGCCAACCTGCTTACCTTCAAAGACAACCCAATTTCTCGATTTCCAGATTCGCCACAAAACCGCCACCACCATCATGATAATCGGAGGTTGGTGGATCAAGGCGAACAGCCGTTTAAGGAACAAAGGAAAAGTATGGCGAGGAAGGGCCTGACCCAGATGTTCAAGGCCATAGTAGTCCCATAAGGCCCGAGCCATCGGACACTCCAAGAATAAATGCTCCATAGTTTTTCATTTTATCATAAAAAGTAAAATTTTGCTTGTCATTTTTTCAAATAACATGTAAGAATAAATCGACCCGCTTTGCGGAATAACCGCACGTGTATTAACCTCCCCAACCACACTTAGCGCGGATAGATATGAATATTGAAGTACAAGCCCCGCCCTGCCACATTGACATCATTGTATAATATGCTACACCTATCATTATTTTGTTTATTTGATTCGTCCAGAAAAAAGCTTAATTTGAAATGTTCCGAATCATTTTAAGCTCTCGTTTTGATTCATCATGTGTATAATGTGGATGCATGCAACAATTTTAATTGGAGGATAAAATGATGTATATATGCCTCTATGTGCACTAATACCTAGTCTTTTAATTTATTCGGTTTTTTTATAATAAAACTCATTACATAAAATTGATTCTCTTTTTTTTAGGAATTGATGGGTGCTTTTGTTCAAAATCAATTAAAGAAAACTTTATCAGCAATCATAGAAGGTATACAATCATTCTACATAACTTCATTTTTTTTTTTTGGTCGGATACATAACTTCACTTTAATTGGAAAGGAATAAATTGTATGACTCTTTTTCTTTTGACTCAATGCATGTGTGCTCATCACCTTCCATGAAAAACGTAATTTTTGTTACTATTTTCGATATTTTTTTATCTTTTAATTTATTTAATCGTTAAAAGGCAAATTTCGTTAATTGGAACATACACATTCTAATTGCTATTGCGTGCTTTGCGTCCAGCTGAGCCTGGAATTTAAAATAAAAGACCCATTGGTTTTTATTTTTCAGCGTGTAGCAAGCCCAAAGAAAGGCCCGGCCCAAATAGAAAAGTGTGCCGCTCTCTACGATTTTCCGATGGGCTGAGAAACCGCACCAAATCTGTTTGTTTTTAGTCGAATCTTGGTTTGCTTTGCTTCATGGCTCATGTCTCTTGTCATTTTTTCTTGCGTCTCTACTCTCTACAAACCAGGCTAGCCAATTCATTAAAAAAAAAACAAGGTTAGCCAATTCATAAAAAAAACCAGGTTAACCTTTTTATTATTTCTCTGATTCTCTCCAAAGATTCCCTATAAAATGATAACCACACTACACATAGGTAATGACATTACGGTTATTCAGATGAAACATTTTTATAATTTTTATCAGCAAAATATATACTCAATCATCAAATTACCATGCATGTATCCGAATGATACTTATAACTCTATACTTCTCTATTTACCTTCCACTAATTATGTCTTAACCCATTTAATTGCCTAATCGTTGAAATGCAGGTAGGAATGGAAATCGATATAGTATAAGTAGTCTAATACCAAATACTATATTCCGAATACCCAGTAATATTATAAAATCAATTCATGTCCATAATAAATTTGTTATCACAATTCCAAAATATTTTGAAACAATATTGGTATTTTCGAATACTAAATTTATTATCTTCGCAACTAACAATTAAATACATTAATAAATAAATAATGGTTTGAACACTCTTATCTCAAACATTATTATAGACTGTAGATTTGTAGGTTTAAGTTCATGACCAAAAATCTTGTTATGATAACTGATAAGTTGAGGTGAAAGAACATGATAAAAAAAACTAATCGAAGTCCTCATTGAATGGATTCACTTCATGTCTTTGATTGAATGGATTAATTACAAGATCTTATTTCGGGGCTAAGAAACTAAATAAAGATTCATGGGCTTGTTTAGCCAATACATGGACAAAGAGAAGAGATTGTGATATCTCAATTTTCTGCACTTGGTAATCTCCGATTCGATGGATTGGAGGATGAGAAACTGCTAATAAGTAATAACTGCCTAACTGGTGAAAACTCTTCTTTGGTATTCTTAAAATAACAAGAGATTGATCAGTGAGAGAAGAAAGTGACCTATAAAAAGAACTAGAAAGCCAAGTTCGGGATGGATGGGTGCTAGTTAGTGTTATCAAAAAGTGAGACATGTCTAGTGATTGTGGGCTATACCTATATTTAATCAATTCTAAATTCTTGCTATGTTTCTTTGTATTTTTTTTTATATATCGATCACAATCTTAAATACCTAATAACACTCCAGAATCAATCTCAATTCCTAAAATGCAACTAAAGGATATGACATAAGTTACATATATTGTTTGGATAAGGATGATATATGTTTGAGTTTTAATTAGGTGTTACTTAAAGAATTCGAATCCGTGACCTCCACGTTCAAAACCAGCGGTATTACTTGGCCTATCAGTCGGAGGATCTCAATGGCCTGATCTTGGTTTCTCTTCAACTTCAATCATGGTCAAACACAATCCTGATTACCCATATTATATATACACACACATGATCAAATAATCAAATATAAACACCCGTATTATATATATATGGAGTGTGTATAAAATGTGTCCACAAATATTGATACCAAGTTCTACGTACCGTATAGTATATATGATACATACACTCCCTAAATAAACATATTCTCGTCCGTATTAACTTACATATACAAACAAGAGAAAACACCGGAAAATATAAAATATTTCACAGCGGTTACAAGCTAAAGCTAGGTAGATATAGCTGTATAACTAAATTGTAAGAAAAAATTAAACGATAATAATAATTAAGCTCTCCTTGTGAAAAAAAAAAAAAATTTAATCACTAACGCACGTAGTATACGTACTGATCACAAGGAAATCTCGCTGAGAATAGGATCGTCGAGGAAAAGTTCCGGCCAATTACTATAAGAAGAAGTCACCCCGCCGGCGTAGCTAGAGCTGCTGCTGCTACCACCATCCCCGCCGCCGCCTGCCGCCGGATTGCTGTTGGAGGATGACGGTAGAACAACCGCCGCCGGCCACGAGCTCATCATCTCCGCCGACGAGGGAATATCGACATTATGATTGGTACTATTATTATTATTATGAAGCGCCACGGTGGTCGCCGTAGTGGTTGTGGGAGTTGTTTGCGCGGGCAAGCAAGAGGAAGAAGAATTAGGGCTCATGAAAGTGACGGCTTCTTCCTCTCGTGGGTCACACAAAGGTGGGAGTAGAATATGGTGGAGTGGTTGATGAGTATTATTATTGGCCGCCATGGGAGGAGAAGGAGAAGAAGAAGAGATCATGTTACCGAATCCATACTCGGAATTACTATTGAGTTGCTGGTTGGGGAGAGAATTGAGGAGGTTGATGAGTTCCATGTCGGATGATACGGCGCCGTTTTGGTGTTGGTGGTGTGGGGTTGGTGGTGATGAGGTGGAGGAGGAGGATTGGAGGAGGTACTGGACGTACTGGAGCTTGGCGAGCTGGAGGGCCTCGGCCTGGAGCCTCATGGTCTGGTGGTCGAGTGGGTTGCTGTTGCTGCTGGTGTGGTCGAGGAGGAGGTCCTTGAGCTGGACCAGGGCCATGAGCTGGGGCAGCGTGGCGAACAGGTCGGTCCGTGGCTGGTGGGTCATCGGGTCGAACCCCATCTGGATCAGCTTCTTCTTCAGGTGTGTGTTCCAGAAGTTCTTGATCTCGTTGTCTGTCCGTCCGGGGAGATGACTTGCTATTGCTGACCACCTACATAATAATAATAATAATAAAATTAATATTGAATTAATTTTGTATTACGCAAAAGCATTTTTCATGATTTGAATTATATATGGAAGTCTTGTCTAGATGATAAATGTTGTATAATATCGGACATCAATAGTTGATTCATGACTTGGTTTAACAAAGCCATATCTAATAATCTACGATCCCCGCGCGCGATTAGCATCAATCATTGATTGCAACACAAGGTATATATGGTAGTTTCTGATGATGACTTTTTCTTCTTCTTCTTTTGTGATCATCTTACTATCGAGGAAAATCAATCAGCTTCAAAATAGTATCAAGATCGTTATGTATCGTGCTAAATTCTTCTATCTTGATCCAGTTACCGCTATGTACGTGATTGAAAACTGATATAATTATAAAAAAAAAAAATGAAATCACACACTCACTTGTTGCCAAGAATGGAATGGAGATTGAGAATGGTCTGTTCTTCATCCTGAGAGAACTTCCCCCTCTTGATATCCGGCCGCAAGTAGTTGGTCCACCTCAGCCGGCAGCTCTTGCCGCACCTATTCAGCCCTGAACCAAAAAGAACACGATCATCATCCGCCGGCCGACGACAAAGCTATAGAAGTAGCAGTAGTTTTACTTACCGGCGAGCTTGGGGAGAGCTCTCCAGCTGCCATGGCCGTTTTTGTGTATGTAATCCACCAGCTTCTTGTCCTCTTCCGGAGTCCACGGACCTTTCTTCAGCCCATCTTCGTCACAGCAAGGAGACCTTCCCATTCTCTCTCTCTCTCTCTCTCTCTCTCTCTCTCTCTCTCTCTCTCTCTCTCTCTCTCTCTCTCTCTCTCTCTGTGAGTTTACGTTAACTTGTGGAAATGGGTTATGCTTCCTTCGCTCCAACCAGCTGCAGAATCAAATGGGCCGGCCTGAGTATGTATTTATATACATAGATTAGGTGCCTTCGTTTTGCTTGTTGTCTTTGGTGATGGGAAATGGTTATAAATGTGGTGTTTTTTTTTTTTTAAAATGTGAGGAAATGGGTTGGTTGACTTGGATGGAGACAGTTCCCTCCACATATGCAAAAGCTTGAATTGACAGTTGATGTCCCCCAATACGCCTCCTTCGACTTCTCTCTCTCTCTCGCTCGCTCGCTCGTTGAATTTGGTGATCGTCACCATCCGTGTTTGGAGACGAAACACGGGCAACCAAAAAAAAAAAACAAATAATGGTGGGGGAAAAAATGGAAAGTAAAGGGTTTGGACTTTAGAGGAATATAAGCCAGTAACAACAGCGATCATTATTTCGTGGAACTTCAAACCCTAAAGACGGGGAACTGTCGGTCAAATGTGTAAAAGAAAGGGTGATTGATATTGGCTACTCGGACACTCTTTCTTTTTTCATTTTGTTTTAGCCCACCCTTTGTTTAGTTGTATTTTGATTGTGCGACTTGGATTTGGCCTAACAATTAAATTGTTTTTAGAGGGAATTATTTTATTTGTTCCAATACAAGCCACTAAGATATAGGACTGGGATATGATTCAAGTTGGTTAAAGAGAGGATTCAATGATTCAGATCGAGAAGTTGGAGTACGGATCAGGGATAGAACAAATATATAATATATAATTCAGATTATGCATGTGCGGTCTAGTCCGATATGGTCTGTATCATGTAGACCATATTGAATAAAAATGAACATTTTGTTTGGTCAACCATAAAAAAAAAATCAATCATCGAGAGAGATTTTTTGTTGTTGTAAAATATAAATTCCAACGCACATGCATAATTTTGATACTGTAAATTCAAGTAAATAAGAAAAACACACAACGTCAGGGCAAACCAACTTGCATCATAATTAACGTCATAAACATTAACATAGTGTCATATGGGGACACAATTGTCTATACTTTATGGTGGTGTATCGTCTATGAATGAGAGGGGGGGGGGGGCGAGATTTACAAAACTAGGGTTGAGGCTTGGTTATCATTGAAGAGTTATGAGAGGGGGGGGGGGATTTACAAAACTAGGGTTGAGGCTTGGTTATCATTGAAGAGTTGTGAGAGTGGACGAGTGAGTTGCTAACACGAATTAGGAAGTGGGTTGGATCCACGGTTTGGTCTGGTAAACCGTAGGCTGAAACAAACCAGACTAAATGCTCAATACGTCTATCCTATAATACATACCAAGGACCAAACCAGAATATTCTTAACCGTCTATGGCCATGACCAAACTATAAGGTACAGTTTGATCCACAAATTTTAAAGTGGTGCGCTTTATTTTTCAGCCTTAACTAAATGTTGATTTACTTGTAGCGATCATTAATTTTCAACATAGAAATCTTAGGTTTGAATTTGAAGAGAAATCTTACGTTTTCAAACATATCCCATTACTATTTTATAAATCAAACATGCCCCTGTATTTTGACAAAATTATCAAACATGCCCTTCTGCTAAACTTTCCATTGAAAAAATCGTCAATCATTGTTGAACCGAGATTTAGACGACCCGACATCGGCAAATGGGAGGGAAAATATCAGTTTTGCCCCCCGTTTTATTTCTCTGGGTCTCTTAAAAGTGAAATTATTTGGATAGCCAAAAGAACCAAAAAAAATTCTAAAGTGAAATTATTAGGGATATTTTAGACATTTGATGTTAACCAAAGTTCGGCGTTGGTTAACGGTTTTTGGATGAAAATTTTAACAAAAGTGTGTTTGATAATTTTTACAAAGTACAGGGGCATGTTTGATGTAAAAAATAGTAAAAGTGCATGTTTGATAAAACATCATAGTAGAGGGACATATTATACCTATAACCCTTAAAATGAAGACCCAACTTCTACATCGTTATAGTATTTTGTTCTCATCCTTGTGTTTGTTTTAATAAAGCAATCCTTCATTAAAGAAAACATGTCAACAAATTTTCTTTTATTCATTCTAGAAAATACCGTAACACCCTAAGTAGTTCGAGAGAGATTCATTATTCATATGAAATAATTAATATTTAACTGACAAGACAAGATGCATTTTGGGATGACATTAATGAGTCCTCGTAAGAACTTTGAAATTAAACGTGCTTAGTGTGAAATAGTGCAAAGATGGATGACCTCCCAAAAAGTCTTCATAATGCATCCAAAAGCAAAATTGTATTGTAGTAATTTAAAGCGGACAATATATTTATTAGAAAATGTTGAAATGTTGCGATTACAATCACAACGATATCTCCAACAAGCTTTCGCTGTATCAAAATAATAACCAGAATGATAATTAAGTAATTACAGAGGGGCCAACTAATTCAATGGTGAAATCAAGATTTAGAGCTAGAGAAAACACACTAAACATACGAAATTGTTTCAACTTGTTTTTTATAGCTTTTGATTCGAACCTCTAGATTTTAAACAAGAGGATAATGGTGTTGATTGTACTACTTTTCAATGCTTTCGCAACAGCCGAATACACAGATTATAATTTTGTTCTAGATATATGGAGATTGGAGAGGTACCTTTACAACTACATCGTAATTATGCCACTGAATTTACTTAGAAAAAATGGAGGGGTTGATAATTAATTAGCTCCCAAGGATGTCGCTAATTAACAGGTGGCAGTGTAGTGGTTGATGAAAAGGGAACTTCACTCCATGCACGCAAAGGAGCGGCGTTGGGTCTTCCGTCGTCATTCTGTGCATGGCTTTCAAAACCATTTTACGTCTTATTCTTTAATTTCTTTATTTTTATCAACCTTCTTTGGAATCTAGCGTATTTCACACTGCACACACCCAATAATTTATTTATTTTTATACAGACACATCCAATAATTAACATAACATGAAGATATCTCTGATATATTCTGACGTTTAGTCAATAATTATTGGCTTGTAAAGCTAGCTATAGTGTGTTTGTAAGTTTCTAAGTAAAGCGTTATAATAATTATCAGCTTGGAAAGGAGCCTTGTCTGGCCTTTTTTTGGGTTTGGTTGCTGGATTGGGTTACATCTTGTTCTTGGCTTCGTATGTAATTCCTGGTATAATTAGCTGAAGCAAGATCAATGCATTTTGGGAGATTATGTCGGTGATGCCAACTGTCACCTATGAAAATAGTGTGGCACAAATTAGGAATGGCAATGTGTTAGGTGTGGATTGTGTTTGGATACATATCGGTCCGTCTCGTGGCATGTTGGGTTCAGGCATGGTAATTTATTGTGAGGGTGCTAGTAGAAGCAGATTCAAGTGAATGGTAGACACCCCTAAAATTTGAGGGTAAAATTAATGAACACCGACATTAATTTGAGTCTAGGAGAAGGGGAGGAAATAAATGACAGTACATGTGATTTGAATATATAATACAATAGTTCTTAGTGAACATCTTTTTTATTTAATCATTCATAAAAAAAACATCTTTTTTATTTAATTACACTTCATTTGTTGTTGTAATTTTCTCATAAATGTTATTATAAACATGTAGTCCTTGTTCCCTGTTTTTCCAAAGCGTAAAATTCAACCCACAAACTATTCCTTACCCCCACCATATTCTAACTAACATATGATTTCCTCCCCCCAATCTAACATATAATTTTATCCTGAAGAGTTTGATCACTTTTCTAATTGTTTTCTTCTACAAGATTTTACGAATTATTGTCATTATGTTAAAAATGATAAGTTATTTTTTGTGGATTAAAAGGAACTAATGAATTAGCTGAGTTGATGGTGGAGACAAAATTGAATATATATATATATATATATATATATATATATATATGTCACATACATGAGTTCATTTACTCCTCAAAGTTGTATTGATTTAACAAGTATCCTAATCAAATAGGCGATCAGTTGGTGAATAATTATCTAGAATGATTGAAAGTGATTTGTTGAGCACTGTAGACGGTGAATGTGTTTTAGGTTTTTTTTTCTTCTAAAAATATGATAACACGTTGTTCTTTTTTTTTTTTAACTTCTACTAGTCAGATAATTTTTAATTTATATTTTAAAAGGACACTCCTATATAAATTTTCTGGATCTGCCACTGGTGCGAGTTCCCGTCGACCTATATGTGTATGTCATTTCGAGGTAAACATTAGAAATGTTCGTTTTTCTTTAAAAAATTCAAGAAACAAGCAATAGCGTGATAAATGTAGTTATATAATTCGAGAAATTGAGAATCTCACATCTTTACAACTTTCTAATAGGTAAAATATGAAATAATAAAAGTAAAATTTAAAAAATTTAAGTAAAATTACATGTAATTTAGGCAAAAATAGGTTGAGAATTGGGCGGGTAATTAAGGCAGGTCAGATCAAGGAAAGTACACATGTTCGCCTCGCCTCGCCTACATACTCCTCCCAAAACAAATCGGGGAAGACGGGTCAGTTCTAAATTATAAGTTGTTATTATGGTAACAACAATACACTAATCCAACCTACAATTGCGACCTATCGAGTTTCATATAGGTCGTAACTTATTGAGATCAACCGGTTCTTGACATAATATCAAAACCCTTCGCGACGGAAAGGTTTCCTGTTCGAATTCCAACCGCGACCTCCATTTTAGGACTGTGCAAACTCAAATCACTGAACTCAAACCCATAAACCATATGAATGGCTTGAGTTTTACAAGATCCAAAGTTAAATATCTCTCAACAACTCAAATTGATATTATTAATATCAACTGATTATTTACAGTGTCACGAGTACATGCAGCAGCTACCACAAGTTAAAAAAAAAGCACCAAACAAATCGTTTTGGTGGCGAATGATGAGGGCCAGTGCCATTACCTGCTTAGCTTAACCGTCAC